CTAACGTCTTATGGAAATGTGACCATAAACAATTCTTTTGATCACATCCCACATACACATATAAGCAAAAAATATACTTCATGAGCATAATTCATTAATTAGCCTGCCAAATAGCCATGTATCAAGATTGACTAGATTGAACATCATACACGTGGTATATGTGACATAATATTACCTATACAAAAATTAGCTTGCTTTTGAAGATCATCAACCAAATTGTTCACCTGCAACAAGACGACCAGTTACCAAAATAGTATAGTAATATCTACTACTCTATAGTCAAGGTTACAAGAGGAAATAACGAGATACATTTGGTGATAATGCAATATCCAATTTCTCCAATCAAAAAACTATATGCAAATTGAAATATTGAGATCAGCTTGTAAACCAATTCACTCACTCACAGATCATAGAAATACTTAAATAATATCCTTTACAATTTCAAGGTTACGATAGGAGATATCCAGATACATTTGGTAATATGGATCACTTGGATTAAGCAGAAATCTCTAAAGTGTCCTACCAAAATTTATTCACCCTTTATATTCCTATGCATCCCTTTTCCCTTTTGATAGAAGCCATATAGCTTCATGTAAACAAAATCTTCATAGTGACAAAAAAGGTATTGCTAGGTCGACTCTTGTTAGGCTTGCAAAGAGCATAGTGTGTGTTTATTAGACATTAACACTACTGGTACTCAAGGCCAGTCTAAGTTGTTGCTTTGGATAAATAAGCAACAACGTGCACAAGTTATAATTACCATGCCCTTTGATCACTCACAAGATAGCATGTCCATGGCTTGCAAGGAATAGTTTCTTTACATTTTGAAATCATAGTCCCGGTTAACATACCTCATCAAGACGCCTTTGTCCTTCGAAGCAGAACGGTTTCAGAATTATTCCAATGACTAGCCCACCAGCACATCTTACTCTTTTAAGAATCTCAAGTGATAAGATATTATCTCCACCATAAGCTGCATTAGCCACCTGGAGATGAAAGAGCTTTTAAATGTTTCAAATTTTCTGAATAGTATTGGCTTTGGAAGCAATAAAATATGATTGCATTCTATCTTTTTGGTTTACAATACTATACATACTCCCTCTATCCCAATAAAAACTTTCAATTTTCCTTTTCTAGATGTCTCAAAAAAAACTTCCAACTTTAGTTCCTGCTAAAGAAGGGAACATGTGGCTAAAAAAATCCCTCTCATCTAAACAAATTCCAACCACATACTTTTTACTTTTCAACACTTTTCTTAAACTCCGTGAAAGTCAAACTAGGAGGATTTTATGGGTCGGAGGGAGTATCTCTTTACAAGAGAATATGGTTCTACTCGTGAGCTTTCAAGGAAAGAGACAATTAATACAATGTGCTGAGATATCTTAAGGACTTATGCCTTTGACAGAAAACTACTCCATCTCAAAACAATTGTTGTTTTACAAAAGTGCTCACATATTAAGAATCTTATAAGGGACTATTATATCCCTACTTAAGTATAATGTTAGATGCTGTTTTTGTTTCCAGAACTTGTTCATGTGGGAATTTTAGGGAGATTGATGGAAAATATGCATCAGAATTCTAAAATGGCAATTATTTTGGGTCTATTTTATAAGCCGGTAAATAGTTTGGGACCGGGAGCATATATGGGAACCTGAGCTGCATTTCTATGCCACACCACCAAATAACCAAATCAATAGTATTACTAGCACCGTTGATGTTTTCATGTACTAGTCTAGACATCAAAAAATTAAGCACAAAAGGCAATTAATTTATGGGCATTGGAGTCAATGATTGTACAAACAAGTATAATTGCTTTAGAACACAAACTCAATGATGATGGATCTTCCTCAACTTCTGCGGTAATATCTGCCAAAGATAAAACAATGGTTTAGCAAAATTTATAGATAAGAAGGCAAACAAGAGCATACTATAGAAAACTGCCAAAATATGACAAAGAAAAGAGATTATGTCAAAATGTCAAACTAGTGATACACTATTATCTGAACTTAATGAGCTATATTGACAGCATATAAGTATTCTCTTTTGCAATAGATACCAAGGTTAGATGCTGCAATAGATATACTCCTAAGTCCTAACAGCATAAGCACACAAAGGTTCAACCAATCAAACCATATTTTTTTAAATGCTCCAATTGTATTCTTTTTGTTAGGGCCTTTTAAAAATATAACTCACATAGATACTTAGATAGAAGGCTCCCATTGTAGATTTGAAAGTCTTCATTACATCAATTTACCACGCTAGATTGAATATACTTCTCACTGCCTTGTTTCTATAGCATCTATGTGTTGAAAAGCATGACACTCAAAGACCTCTATCAAAATACAAGCTACATCAATATCAATGCACAATTTAGAGAGAGAGAGAGATGTTGTCTTCCCTTTTGGAACTTGCATGTTATGTTGGCATGTATATTGACAAGAGAAGCAACTAAATAATGCAGAGTACTAAAAACTTGAAACCATACACATAATTCAATAGTTGTGTTGTTGTCTATTACATAATTCTACCAAAAGATACTAAACCAACTTAAATAACTCAAAAATGAGCACCTAATGTTGATTATTTAAAATACTAAATCATAAAGAGTACTTCAAATTTATTACTTTAACTGCAGATGTGCCAACTTTAAAATTTGGTTGTCACACTCAACTTATACACACAATTATACTCCCTCCATTTCAAAAAAAAAAAAAGTTACCACACTTGAGTGAGGTACAACTTTTTATTTTTAGTGAAGAAAATCAACCTACAAGCATTTTCAAATTATAAATGATTGTTCATACCTCTAATGAAATATCATTTGGAGTAATGGACTAAACCCACTTGCGGCTTAACTTTACTTAAATTTAACTTATAACTGTAAGTTGACTTTTAAAATTGAAATCTTTTTTTACCTTAAAACTTGTTGAAAGTTGAAACAAGACTCTTTTCCTTTATTGGGATCGAGGAGGTAACATATTTCCTACTTTAAGACAATATACAATAACTTCTACTACGTAAAGGAGTGCAGTATACATGTTCCTACCACGTTGCATAAAAAAACTCCTCAAAGTGTTTTACAGCCTTTGGCATGCTATCCCCACTCCACCCTAACCCACTCACATATATTTAACAGCAGAAAGAAAAAGAAAAGAAGAGAAAGGGAATGTTAGAGCATCAAGAATCAAACTTCCAAGCCTATACCTTCTGTAAGAGACCTCTGGTGCAATAACACCTTCCCTGAATCTTTGACAAGAATATTCCTGCAAAACATCATCACAATAATTTTTTTAAAAAAAAACATTTCAGAAATCAACTCATGTTCATAAGAGAAAACATCTATAAGAATTGTAAGTTTCCCTGATGCTTTAGATTGTAAGTTTCTACATGTGTGTTTATTTTTGTATGCGTTCCTACTTTGGTCATGTTACTTTCCCTTTTCATTGTGTTTTTGAGTCGTGAACCGAGAGTCTCTTGAAAACAACCTCTTCCTTCTAAGTAGAGGTCATAAAAAGGTTCCACTCAAGTGTGTTCCTCTATTGGAGAAGCTTTGAAGTTCATTATCAATAAAGTGTTAATTGACTAGGAAGAAAATTCTGACACGCCACATTGAAAAGAAAATTAAAGCACAGGAAAGTATGAATTGTGGCATACCAAAATCTCAAGGCGGGCGAGCAAGAAGGAGATGACAAACAGAAGTCAATAATGGCGTCTTTCCTACTCCCTATCCCAATCACCTCTACGAAATTTGTCTCGTCCCAGATGCTCCGACGAGATATCTCCGCCGCTTCTTCTCCTTTAGACGATGAGTCCCCGGAAATACTGTTAACAGAAAATACGACGCTTCTGTCGCATTCGCTGCTCCTGTGGCCGGCAGCTGAGCAAGGCTCAACTCGAACATTGGTGGGGTTTCGCTTCGGCCTCGCCCGGCGGCTGTGGTAGTTGGGTGAACGGAAATTGATGGTGGCAGTTCTGCAAGAGAGGCGCGAAGCTAAGTGGATGGGGATGTGAAGATCCATTTCATCGGAATAATCTCAAAGATTGAGCTACAAATATCACAAAAAAACATGTTGTTATACCTTAACAATGTCGACATTGCCCACTCGGGTGAGCTCCCGTTCTTTAAAATTGATGTCACCAAGTTGATTTTTTAAGTCAAACCGTACAATATTTGTATCTCATTTAAAAAATAACAATAAGAATAATTAAAATTTATCCAGTTTAACTTAAAAAATCAAACTAGACAAATAAATAAATAGTTAACCAAACTAGGTGAATAAAAGTCATATGTTGTGGAGTCTAGCCCTAGATGAGGGAGAGCCCGTGAAAGATGAGACCGAGCTTGGATAAAATTTGGCCGACCTCGCCCAAGAGGGGTTCGAGCTCAAGTTAGATGGGGCCGACCTACCATTGCCTTCTTTTCCAACTCATCAATGAGTCTTGCGCGCATCTCTAAAGCCCAAAGCAAATGGAATGCAGACCACTAGTTCTTCTATTTGACTTGCATTTAATAAAGATTTATTGTAGAGGATTATTTAGAAAATATATTTCATTTTCAAAGAATCATGTTAGTAAATATTACTTATTGAAGGCTAATTTGAAAAGACAAGTTATTAAAATTCATCTGTTTTTTATTTAGGTTCTCATAAAGGATAAAGCTACTTGTACTCCAAAGATTTGTATCCCATTTATACACTGTTGGTGTTTACCAAAATTTTGTGTTAGTGTAATGCCAAATTTTGTTAATGCACCAACACTTTGTGTCAATGAAAATTTTTGTTAACGCACCAACATTTTGTATTAGTTTAAACCATCAAAATGTCAGTGTATACTTTTGGTGTAAGTTTGAGGTACAAATTTTGGTATACCCTAAGTCTAGTATACCAAAACATACTCCGTTATACCAAACCTCTGGGTTCAGGAACAGCTCAGCTTTGGGATTCTGCCCTTCACCTCAGGCTCGGTTTTGCTGACGTATATCGGCCTGTATATCCGTTACCGTAGCCTATATAACCTCTTCTTCTTCTACTTCTTCATCGCCGGAAAAGGTTTACAGTGGCCGTGGGGGAGGGGGTTTTACTCTGATGTCCTCAGTTCGGAATACAGTGGATGGGAACTAGGGTTCCTGTACCGCACTACGATTTGAGGCCGGCCGCTGCTTCTTACATCGACAGCTCAGTCCACGACAACAATGCTGCCGAGGGACTCGGCGGAGCAAGTGATGACGTGGACCCAGGCAGCGGAGATGCCAAGGAGGATAGTCTCCATAACGACGAAGAAGATTCCGCAACTGTTGTGAGCATTCCTAAGTTTTCCAACTTTTTTTGGAGAAATTATAGTCTACCAACAAGTCACAAAATTCACAAACTTGATTTGTGAATATAAATTTCCACTTTTTTAAAAGAAGTTTTTGAAACCATTTTATTCTTTTAGTGGGTTGGTAAGTTTGTGAATTCTTTTGGTGTTCTTGTTTGTGACTTTAGCATTTTTATCCTCAAGTATTCACATTTCACATTCCAGAAATAGGCCTACTTGAATTAGAGACTGGTCAATGCCATACTCGAAATGAACATGAAAAAGCTATACCCTTTTCTCACAAATAGTGTTTAATAATGTTCTATGGATATGGAATGAATTCCAGTCATCACTATGTTATTCTTTATGGTTTGATAGGTTGTCTCATAGTTCTTTAACAAGAACGATTATATTTCTAGATTGCATCTTTGTTCTGTATTGCGTCTGGTTCTCTTTGAAGGGCAATTCAAACTAGATCTTTTGGATATCAATTGCCTTGTTAGCTTTATCCTATTTAGTAATGTCTGGCTAGGTAGTAATTTGTTGTTAAGTAAGCATGCTCATTACTTGTTGCACGCCTGTACACTTCCATACAGGACTGCTTGCATGATTCCTTTCAGAACTCTTTACCACTTCACATTGTAACCGTGGAGGACAATCAAAGTAGCGTATCTAATAGTGGATCTTCTAGTGGCTCTTACAACATTGTAACCATTGACGGTAACATACATTTTCAATTTGGTTTTGCCTTTAAAATAATAATCGTAATACTTGAAAGGGTGATAATAATATTTGCTATTGTTATAATTAAGCAATATTAGAACTATATAGATTCTTAGACAATCCTTTTTTTGGACCAGATGTTTCACCAATTGAGTCAGCAAGAGCAAGATTTCTGGACATCATCGTAGATCATTTTATTAGTTCACATGTAATTGAGGTGTTCAATACGGAACCAGACTGTGTTGTACAATCTTCTCAAGATAAAGCAAGCAAGAGGAAGTTGGGCAAAATTCAACGTGAAGGTGATCCTCGACATGTTTTGCCTTTGATGTATGTGGCAAACATGTATGAGACATTGGTTGCTGAGGTGAACTTGAGACTATCTTCCTTGAGTGGAATGCGGGAAAAAAACATCGGTGTGGCCCTTGAAGCAGCTGGTGGTTTGTATAGAAAGCTTGCAAAAAAGTTTCCCAGGAATGGTACGAAATATTTGCTCCTCTTCTGTCTAGTCAGAAGAAGCTGTGTAGGGTGGGGGCTCGGGGTCAGGGGCGCTGGCTCACTCTCTGTATTCAGCACTATACAGCATCATCCCTGTCAGTGTAGCTCTCGGCTACAGCAACTTGGCATATGGGGTTCTTAGACATATTCCCTTCCCCGCCCTTCTTATCTTGAAAACAACATGGTCTGATCCCCCTCCCCCCCCCACACTACACTTCCTTCCCTCCATCACATCTTTCCTAGTGGAGAGTAATGAAATAAAAAAAAAGGGTTGGGTTAATGAAAAACTCATTACATCATTTTATGTTTCAAGGCTCTAGAGTAAGGCCAGGCACAATGCGATAAGATTACTGCATTATACTGGGTTTGGGGAATTTCTTGTTGCAATTGGTTTGCTGTTGTTGATGCAGGATCTTGCACGTATAAACGCCGAGAATTAGCAACTTCTTTTGAAACACGGTCAAGGTTTCCAGAATTAGTTATACAAGAGGAGAAGCGTGTCCGTTTTGTGGTTGTTAATGGTCTAGCTATTGTTGAGAGACCAATGAGTATGCTAATCGATGATATTGAGTGGTAATCTTTTGCACTTCTGATTTGTATTTAATATGTACTCTTTACTTGTTCTATATTTTTGCTTTGTGTTAAGATATAAAAACCTTTCCTAGGCCTACAACCACAAGTTTGAGCTTATGGTTGAGTTGGTTCCTTGACATGGTATTGTAGCCTTGTTGACTAAAAGGTCACTCTAAGAATTTGGAACTTGACACGGAAAGTGAATTATGCATAGCTCTATAAGTTGTTGAATATCCTAGACCCTACTCTTGTGGGATTCAACTAGGTTGTTGTCTATAAGTTGTTGAATATGCTTTTTAGCTGTTACTTATTATCCATGTACAGGTTCAAAAGATTGACAGGTCGCAGTGAAGTATCAGTCTCCCCAAGAGATTACAAGTTCTATGCACCTAGACACAAGTACAGACGTGTAGCATCAAACCCCATTCCAAACATGCATACATTCCCGGTATAATCTGAGTCCTTTTTTTTCTTTTGAGTTTATCTTGGGAAAGTTTTTTTTCTTGTTAGGAGGTAAATGGACATATAAGTTTACACCTTTTTCTAGACATTCACAGGAACAGATAGTGTTTCTCCTCCTATGAGTGCAGCTCAAGGTTACCATTCTGTAAGTGAGGTAAGATGTACAAATTTTAGACTCTTACTAATTTGCTATTCTATTAGTTATTGCTTTTTTTAAAATGTACTATTGATTAACTTATTTACAAATATGCAGCAGCCACAGAATAGCCACCAGATTCCTCCACAAGAGCAGCAGCAGCAGCAGCACATGCAGGCAACATCACATCAGGCTCAATTTCACCCCCTTCAGCAGAGCCACCTCCAGCATCAGATGAACCAAAACCAACTCATTGCCCATTTGTCTCATTGCGGACCTCATTCACACTTGTCTGAAATCGTGCATTCTCAGCACTCTGCCACCATTCCCACTACTCACATGTCTCCCTTGCAACCCATAGGTCATGTTGGAGGGCGTATGCATTTACAGGTGAGAGAATTTACTTTTTTCATTAAGTAATCTAATACTATTATCATTTGTAATTTCTTGCAAGAATCATAACTTCTCTTCTCCTCCATCCCAGTTGGCCACAACATTCTTTTTTTATCCAATAAAAATCATGACTAAAAAAATCACTTGCAAGAAGAGAAGTTATGATTCTTGCAAGAAATTACAAATATCATGACTAAAAAAATCACTTACAAATGAATGTTAGCGAGCACACACGTGTTCCCAAGTGGGGATAGACTTGAGGGTTGCAAAAGCATAAAAAAAACCTCTTGGCAATGGTTTTTTGTTAGCATTTATAGAGTAAATTCCATAATTGGTCCTTTATAACAGGGGGGTTTCCATATTTAGTCCTTTATTATCAAATATTACTCCCGTAGTCCTTTTTTTAAGGGTACCTTTCCACAAATGGTCCTTTTTTGATCTTCTATCGTGTTGGTGTTAATTTAAAGGCTAAAAGTATAATTTGACATCAACATTCTGTCTAGTGACGTGTTCTGATATTGGTTAAGCAGATAACACAAAAATAATGACTATGATTGTAGGCTAGGATTCTGACGAAAGATCACATTTGTAAACTATCGTTGTCGTAAAAAGCGACTGTAATTTACAAACAACGCAAACAGAACAGCCTTTGGAATTGTGTATGACAAAAAAGATAAATTATCATTGTGAAATTACACTTTTAGCCCTCAAATTAACACCAACATGATAGAAGATCAAAAAAAGACTATTTGTGGAAAGGTGCCCATAAAAAAAGGACCACTGGGGTAATATTTGATAATAGAAGACTAAATTGGGAAACCCCTCTGTTATAAAGGACCAATTATAGAATTTACTCGCATTTATATTGTAAAATGTGCATTCTTCATTGCACTTATATGGTTTAACATGTCTTTGCCCTTGCTTGTGTTGTGTGTATCAGCCAGTTGGTCCTGCAAAGTTCTGTGATGAATGTGGGGCCCCTTACTTGAGGGACACATCCAAGTATTGCTCCGAGTGCGGTGTGAAGAGGTTAGGAATTTGATTTGTGAAACACACCAAAGGGGTACAAATTTCATGGCAAGGCATATGGTTGGCTACTCATGGCATTTGTGAATGTGTCGAAGTCGAGACAAAACTTCTTTCTAGCTCTTAAGGTGACATTTTTGTCTTGTTGTATTATAAAGAGGGAAAATAGGTTGTATTGTACGTTGTACAAAACATATAACAAGATAGATCAAGATCAATGTGCTTCAAGAAAACGACTTCATCTTTTTCTAAACCCAGAATCAAATCCATAAACAAGGCACAATTAAAAGTCGCAACTATTGGTTAATTTTCAATAGTATGCATTAATTTTGCAATAATAGTTTTATCACCAAAGAGGATTAATCAGATAAACAATTGAAAATGTAGACCAATATAAAGCAAAACAATGTCATAGGGGAAGAGCTCTTGACAATGACAATGGAAGGGTCTATGGAAGAGCATACATTAAGGGAGAGATGTGGTAGGAAAACCACAAAAGCAATGCCTTGGTGATTCTCCTAAGAGTGGACGCACGTTTGAGGAGATTCATAGGGTTAGGCGATTCGAAAGTGGCATCATCTTATAGAAAGAAATAAAGTTTCTAAAAAAGTTGAAAGAAGATTGATGAAAAGTGCAAAAATAGCTCGCAATACAATAGCCAATTTGCCATCATTGACATCTCCTTAGTTATTTTTAAGCATCAAATTAACAATTTTTTTTGTGGAAGTCAATGAAGCATTCAAAAACATGGCTGAGAACTACAGAAACAATACTTTTAGGGAACCTTAAATAAAACTTCCCAATATATGGTAGACATTGAGATTGCTAAAGTACAACGTAAAATTAAGATACAGTTGAGTGTTGGAGTTCAAATTCTGTCACTGCTTGGTTGATAGCATCTACGACTTCCAGTTTATTGTTCATTCTCAATGCCTCATCCAATGGTGTATTGCCATGGCTATTAATCAACACAAGAAAAAAAAGGAAGAGATGCAACAATTTAGTTGAATCGGGATTAATAATATACCAATCCTCAATTATTTAATAAGTTGTGGAATGTCTGTGAAGTTCAAAGGGGCTTACTAACTTCACCCAAACAACAAACATTTGTGAGAATGTAAAAAAGGATGTACCACTTGTGTACCCTTTTGGGGATGGAGTATTACTTTCGACTTAACTCCAGAAAAATATTACTCCGTACTTTCTTAATGTGTGCAAACATTTATAACATGACACTTGACAAAAATGAAGGGTGAGAGCGCATGCAACAACTAGAATTAACCTGTTCAACGCTGATACACTTGCTCCAGCAAGGATTAAGCTCTTAACTACCTGATAGAGACATCAATAAGCTCACACTACTGTACATATAAACGAACTACGAAGTTAGTACTAGAGGACAGTAATGCATACCTCCATGTGCCCATTGATGCAAGCCCAATGTAAAGGCGTATTTTTCTCCTCATTGAAAGCATTAACATCCTTTTCCAAATAATCAGTATTCACATCTTTCAGGGAGTGTTTGTTTCATCACAATAATTTAACAAGTAAAAAAACATAACAGAGCAATTTCTTAACTAATACTGCTGAATCGGGTACTATAGATGTAAATTAATTAGAGAGCATCTGAATTATACTCACCACTTTACTATCAATGAGATAATTTACAACATCAAGATGCCCATTAGCAGAAGCCATATGAAGTGCTGTAAACATAAATAGTTAGACAAGGTTACATACACCAGAACACAATATAACAGTGCAGAATGACAAAGAAGAAACTCCTTCTCCTCCCTCCCCCCCCCCTCCCCCACCCACCCACACACACACACACAAAGAATAGCATGTGATACTTGCACTTTTGGTCCATCACAGGTTTGATCGTTGTGTAATATAGTCCTAACTTTCATTTATTCTACATATGGGCCCAAATTGTATTAAGTATTAAGATGTATAGAAATAGTCAATCATGTTACTAGCAAGCTTAACATTGTATCTATGTAGTAACATTAGCCATTACATCCAGGCAATGGTTGAAATAAAAGATGTGAACTACTTAAATACCATACCACATAAATAACAGATTCTTAATTAAAAATGATGCTAAAGTGCTAAACTATCTAGTGGTGTAATGGTTTGATTTTACACTTCTTTCAGATGACACTGCTTCAATTTGGGATGCAAAAAAATGAGTACAAGCATTTAAATAATATTCTTTTCACTCCTAAACTCTGTGTCATTTTTACCTGGGAATAGAGGGAGTATTGTTGTTGTTGTTGTTAAAATTTGGAGATCAGGCGCATAAGCAATTCCATCAAAGAAAAATCAAGTAACACAAAATGCATTACTTCTAGTCTATTAATGATCTCTAATTAGTCAAAAGATGAAAAAAAAATAAATACCAGTTCGGCCCAGTGAATCCTTTGAATCAAGAGATACACCACGGGATACTAAGCTCTTTATATCTTCAATGTCAGCATACCTTGCCGCCTATCCAATATAAGACACATCAAAGTTGATAGATGATAAAAGAGAATTACATAACACTATACCATTCCCAGACAAAGAACATAGCAAGTACGGAGTAAACTATTAAAGACCCATTGCCAATCGGGCACATATATCGCTTTTAGACATCAATAAAGGATGTCTAACTAAAGACCTCACCTCTATGGTCTAATCTCTCCCTCTCTCCCTCACACATACGAGGGAAGTACACTTTTTATTATAAAATGAAACAGAACACCATCTATTGCAAAATCTTGTAATGGAGACTAGAGTGGAAATTTACATTCTAGGGCCTAATAGAAACAACCTCACTGTTTTTTGAATGGAATCACATACTCAATTCAGCGGCAATCACACACTCAATTTACAATAGATGAATCCCGCAAACAGCTTTTTTGCTCGATCGTCATAAATATATCACAGAGAGATCATTCGGGAACTACTCCTGGCACGCAAATTAGGGTTGTCTGTGAGAATAAGCGTCAACTGCGTACCTCAATCAGAGATTCGATGTCTTCCAGCATGGTTTCAGGTGAACTTTGCTCGGCGGTAGTCGGCGCACGTTCCATCCCCATCCCTAAACTTAGATGTCACTTGCAAGTGAAATTAAGCAAAAATTACTGCCCAAGAAGAAAATAAAGAATACTCCGTATAAATTTGGTAGGAAAGCAGTATAATTTATTTTATTCAAATTAGTTGAGATCAGATTAAACCATATTAAATCATGTAATATCAAAAATAATTTTAAATATAATTATATTTAAATTAAATCAGATTAAATTTATTCTAATCATATCATAATCATTCAAATCAGTTGAAGATAACAAGCCTACAACAGTAATTGTTCATTTTTAAGTACTCTATAATTTAAAAGTAGGAATATTGTAAAAAAATGATTATTTTCCTTAAGTTTATGAAATGTATGCCGGATTATTTTAGACAAATAACAAAATAAAAGAATTTCGAATGTAAGACTATTTTGTAGAGTCTTGAATGCATATCAGTTTTGTGGATCTTCTCACATAAAAAGTGTTTTTATATTATTTTTATTTAAAAAAACAAATATTTATTTAAGTAGTAAAAAATACTTATTTTGCTTATCTGTAGGTTCATGGTGGAATTAATTTCCACCCTAGAATTTGCCTATTTTGTATGATCCATGGAAAAAAGATTATTTTAAACAATTTTCTTTTATTCATCTGTCATTATTTTTAAGTTAAATTTTTGTGCTTTCATTTTTTTGATGTTTTTAATGTACTTTTCTATTGCTTGATTTTTTGTATTAGGTTTTGTTTAAAACCAATACTTACCTAATACTTCTAATTACTCTTAATTTAAGTACTTCGTCTGTTTTCATTGAAAATCAAAATAGCTCAACTTTATTATAGTATAGTACTTAAAAATCGACTGAAACAACGGTAGAGTGGGTATTTGTGAGAACTTTAGCAAGTAAAAAAATTAAAGTTTATTATTAAGGGACGAAAAAGAGTCGAAAATTTATTTTCAAACAGGGAGAGTACTGAAATTACTTCAAAAAAAAGAAAAAGAAAAAAAAGTATTAAAAATGTTCACCTTCCTAAACTTCCTTTTAGATTTGAGAAACGATAAATTCATAAACAAAATGATCACAAAATTCATAAATTTATTATTTATGAATTTTAATAAAAAAAACTTTAAACAGTCTAAAATAATTTGAAAATAAAAATTTAAATCACAAATAATAAGTTTGTGATAGATTTAACAAAAGTAAAAAACTATCACATTCCCGCCTTTTTGCGTTTCCCGCCCCTACCCCAGCCATAACTATCTCATTCCCGCCTTCCCTTCTTGCCAAAGTTCTGAGGCGTAAACCGAAAAGGGAGAGGAAAATCAGTAGGCAATTATTTGAAGAAATGGAGAGAGGCGGCGGCGGAGCAGCTCCCACAGGGTGTTACAAGTGCGGCCGCCCCGGCCACTGGTCAAGGGACTGCCTTTCCCATCCAAGCAATGGCAATAACCCTAACTCGACTTCTACTTCCCTTCCGAATTCTTTTGCGTCCAATCGCAGATCCACACCGGACGCTTCCAACTCCGACGCCGGAGGTAGTTCCCTTCCCAAACCCAAGGCAGCCCCGAGGACGCGCCCCAAACTCACTGCAGATTCCCTTCTATCTGACGATGGAATCGGTCACGTCCTGCGCCACTTTCCTCGAGCTTTCAAGTACCATGGTCGCGGGCACGAGGTATGATCATGTTTCCGTCTCCTCCATTCGAATTTCGTTGATTTTTTTTGTTTATTATCACGCATAATCATCACCATCAATTTTAATACTTGTAGTTGCTAGAAATTTGAATGTGTTTCCTGAAAGCTTCCCCTTTACAGGATTTAACAAAAACTAGGACACAGATTTCATTTAATTTTGTGTTTATTACCGGCCATTGTTGTTATTTTCAATTTAAAATGTGTCTAAATTCCGATATTAGGAGAAATTTGAGTGCATTTTCTCTTCCATTCTACATGACTTAGCAAAAACTAAGCACAAATTCCATTAGTAGTTACCAATGAATAAAGTTTGACACTGTGAATATTGAACGAGAAGTTTATTTGTGGACGGAGGGAGTATGTTTTATTTACACTATAATTTGATTTGGGTTGGAGTTTGTAAGCCCAGTTAATTGAATTCGCTGCAGGTGTCTGATCTAGGAAACCTAATTGGATTATATTCTGATTGGCACTCACGTTTACTTCCCTACTACTCATTCGATCAGTTTGTACATAAGGTTGAGAAAATTGGTGCCTCAAAGCGTGTCAAGGTAACACATACACCCTTATTGTCTTCTTTCTATTAACTGAATGCTTAAAACGGGCATATGGTTTTATTCTACAGGATTTTGAGCTTAAGGCTTCACATTCATGTTAATCAATTTGAACATATTATGGTACATTATGTATATGCATAATGTAAAAACTTAAATTTTCCTGAAAAAAAGTCCCAAAGAAGTTGAGTTTTTAGATTTAGTTAAGCCAACAAGTGAATTTAAAAATATAGCTATATTTAATTAGAAACGGTGCCCCTCCAATAAATCTTTTCCAGTTCTCCATTTTGTAAACAAAAAACAGAGAGATGCTTTCATTTCTAGTGGAGCTAAAATAGCCATTTTGACAATGTTTTTGCTTCACGTAAGTAATGGACTTCATCAAAATAGCACATTAAGCTTACCTTGGTTCTTACTTTCCGTGAAGTCTAAAAACAAAGAGGTTTCTGTTAGACCCAATTGTAACGTGAGTGCGTGACAACTGATGTGACCCTCAGAACCACTCTCACTGTCTTGTGTACTTACTGAGGTAAGGGTGTGTACATCTTGACCCTCAGACCCCGAAGAGGTTGGGACATAGGTGGTTTGTTGTTGTTATACAAAAGACAGTGAGAGGAGTAGATATTAAGATACCTAAAGGGTCTTGTAGAAGCATGCTTTATATTTCCCAATTTCTCATTTCATAATGGAGTAATCAACACATAGACCAAATGCACAACTGTGCATGATTTGTAGTTTTGTTCAATGTACATTTAAAATGAGCATTCCTTAACAGGTCCAGCGGGTCGTGCATAGTAATGTCTCTCGACTCCTAAGGCACATAACATTGTTTTTAGTAGGATCAGATTTTCTATTCAAAAGGGGATTGTGGCGCACCTTGTTGTCCGTTTGCCCTTCGCTTTTTTTTGTTTGTAATTGGTTCTATTTTCAAGTCGGATTTAATTAAAAAAATGAGAATATGATATTTGCGGTACACATATTCTTTGCTTCACTTGAAAAACAATCATCAGTGTGAGGCCTATAGATTTATTCGGAGGGAGTACTAACATTGCCTCCTCTATTTAAGCAATGCTGTTTGAGGCACGGGCCTAATGTGCAGCATGTTTTCACCCAATGTGTTTTTCTGTCATCCAGTTATGTTTGAGAAATTTACGTGAAAAAGTTGCTAATGGAGTTGACCCGGCCAAGCTTCAAGAGAATGAAGCTCAAGAACAGATCTCAAATGAAGAACAAGGTGCACTTACGATTATTATTATTAGCAAATAATTTGATTAATATAGTTACACTTGAGTAATGGATGAAGTAATGTAACTGCATATATACTATCTATCCCAAATAGAGAGCAATGTGCACGTACATCAACAGCTTTATGATAATTGCTAGTATAGAGTTTGCCTTAACCAACTTATCTCACTTCAAGTTTTGACCACTTAAGTAATCAATGAAGCAATAGAAGAGAATACAGATTCTCCTAGGAACTGTTAACCTCGGTACACATCTTATGATCGCAGGGTGGTAAATCTACTTGGCATGCCTCGTATACATTGTATTGTGCAGGATCTGAAATACAAAAAGGTCTCAGATTTTGAGAATTGAGACAAGGTGTTTGTATGTCCTGCTAACTGTGTAAATATTTATACCAAAAACACACAGTTAGCAGCATGATACACTTCACAATGGGTTCATCAAATGTTCTTCCATAAAGCACTTCCCAGTATGGTGTAGTGACATTTTCAACCTAGGGCTTCTAAAATCTCATACAAAGTTGTTGCTCTTTCAGAGAATATGAACTTAGATGAGCCAAGTTCTCTGCAGAAAGATGCTGAAACTAACCTTGAGGGAGATGGATTTCAGCAAGAAATGAATCATGATGTGTGGGATAGCATAGTGAAAGTAAGTGCCACTTTCCCGTTGGTTGACATCATAAATTTAGTTGTAGCACATTGTTTGCTGAAATTGATTTACTTATGTGCTTATCAGTGTTGATGATCTTTATGCTTTTCCCCTTCACTTCATATCTTAGATTTAATAACAAAAAAAATCTCACCAAAACCCACACCCCTTGCTCAAGTATCCTAAATCCACCCCCACTCATATAAACAATGTAAACTAGCCATTTAGGGAGTGGATTTAGCAAATTTGGGTGAATTATGTGGATTTAGCCGTTTAGGCTAACTCCCTAAACCCAACTTTTTTATTTGCCAGGATGGCAGTTTGTAAATTATTCTCCATAATGTTACACAAGAAACAAGAGAACACAGCAGTTTGGTTAGTAGCTGGCTTGTGACACACAGATGAGTACATGTTTTCTTTAGCTCAAGAAACAACCAAGTGAAAATGGTGGGCAGTGGGCTGATGGTCCTAAAAATAATAACTGGGTGGAATGGGTATGTTTAGGTGCTGCCAAAAAAGAACAAAAAATAAAACCAAACACCCGTACCCGACTACCGGTACCGGTCCTCCATTTTTAAAACCCGGAACTGCACCGCCCCCACCAGTTCCGGCACCAGTACCCTCATTCACTCCCATTGGCATGGTACCCGGTTCAGCTGGAACTACCGGTACTGGTTCTAGACCGGTACCGTGTCCACCTCTCTATGCCTAGCTAGCTAGCTAGTGTGTGTTTTTGTGTGTGCTGAGTAATTGATTCATTACTGGTAAACATGGTGTGGGTAGGAAGCAAGTCCTCTTCCTCCTCATCAGCCGCAGGGTATGAGTAGTGATGAGAGTGGAAGAAGCAAGGAGGCCCAGAGAGGTGATGTGGCAAGTGAGGAGGTAAATGGCGGTTCATCGAGCAATGGAATCTCAGAAGAGCAAAGAGCTCGCATGGAGGCTAACAAGCTCAAGGCATTGCAGAAAGCGGCTGCTGCTCGCGCCGCTCGTACTGCCCCACTCTAGAGACTCATGCCTGCACTATACACTAAGCTATTATCCATTTATACTTCTCTTTCTCATTTCTATATATGTGCATAAGTTATTCTATTGTATTTTGAGATTGTAAAATTGCACTTTGGATAATAAAGGGATGTTCAAATCAACTTATTATTATTACTTATTTTTTTCTTTCTTAAAATCATATCATAATTCTGATTAGATCATAAATAATATTAGATATAACACCATTTAGATCAGACCATGACTTATTTCAATTGGATTAGGATTATTCTTATTAGATGAAGAAAACATGACCTAATTGGGAGGCTTGTATGAAATTTTTAAAGTGCGTCTACTTTGCTTAAAGCCTCAAATTTCTAATATTGTCTTCCATGATAGCTCATTGTCTTCAAAGCTTTAGTGGTCTTGAGACTTTTTTTGTTTATGAACATTTCTTTTGAAGACTTCAATAGGTTTTAATGTACTCTAACGTCAACAACAAATCCACTCTAATCTTACTTTTATTAGGGTCAATATGTATGTATTCTTACAACTCTCGTTCTTTTTTGTTATAAAAACTTTAAAAGTTGTATGAGAATAGAGTATCACTTACTATTAAAAAAAATTTAATCTAAATATTTAAATATTAATACATAAGAAAAAAATTATATGCATACATAGTAAATGCTCATTTCTTTTAAATACTATCACCGTCCCATAGTATTAATTTAGTTAAAATTTTCAAATCAAATTAAATAAATTTTGATCATTAACTAAATATTAGTACAACTTACTTTGTATATTGCATATTACCCCGTACTATATTAGCATAAAATGATTTTATTATATTTATTTTGTAAAAACTTTTCAAAAAATTATTCCATTGTATTAATATACTCTTTTCGTCTTATTTTGAATTCTTTATTACTCCGTATAGTTCACGATATTTAACTAAAATTATTTTCAAATTATTCTATTTGAAAATTGAGATAGAATTAGAATGAGTATAAAATTTATATATTTAAGATAACTATATCAAAAGTTCTATAAAATAAATTATATCATAATCATACTGTTTTATCAAATTAGTAATAAAAAATAAAAAGCAATTAGAGTTTAATTAAAAAAAAATAAACAAACAACATAAAATAAAATGAAGGAGAGTACAAAATTTTTAATTGAGTATTACTCCGGTAAAAAAAGTCAACTAATCCTCTTAAGGGAAGGGAGAGGGAGGGAGGGAGTATTCAATGGTTGGTATTACTCGTAATCTATACTGAGTATTTTTTTTTCTATCTTTGAGAATTCAGGTTGCGGAGGATCTGATTCGAGGAAGACGACCTTTGCTCAACTGAAAAAAGGTCAGTCTAAAGAGCTTTCTGCGAACTTTATTGCCCCATTGTAGAACGTCTGGTCTTTATATGAATGTATATATTTGTAGTTATTCTCGAGTCCTTGCATATGCTTGTGATCTGGTCCTTCATCCACGATTCTTGGCTGTCACCATTTTTCATTCAATTAGGAATCTGTTATTCAAAGATGTATCGGTGAGTTTCTTCAATGTTCCTTATTCTATTCATTCGTCAGTCTGTTTGGTGTGTATAACTGCAGCTGTAAATTTCACCCCATCAGCCTACTTTGTTGACTTATGATTATTTCATTTCAGTAAAATAGGTCCTTGAATCATGAGTTGGTATATGGTACATCCGGATGTACCTAGAAATAGTATATCCCGGTAGTAATCATTCTGAAATAAAGTAGTACTCATTCTCGTTCAAATATATACATTCATTTCGAAATACGTAGTACTCATTCTGGCAAAGGTAGTACTCATTTTAAAATAAAGTACTCCTTTTTACACATTTGTCTAATATAATTATAATAAATAGCGTAGTGTTCATTCTTAAAAAAACAATACTCATTCTCAAATAAGGAAATGTTCATTCTGAAATAAAGTATTATTTAATTTTTCACAATTAAAAAGTTCAGTACCATTATCGACTTTTTCCTCTATTCGATTCGTTCTAACTCATTTATACTTTCTGAGCATTGGAGAATTTAAAACCCAAGTTTATTAATGTTTGTATTGAATAAGAATATGATAATTCTCATAAGTGCTGGTACTCCTTCTCAAATTTGCTGGTACTCATTGTCATATATAAAAGTTCTCATATATGTTTTGGGCATTGGATAAAAAGTTTGCAAAATTTATAAAAATACCAGGTTGTACCTAAAGGAAGGTACAGCTGGATGTACCATATTATTTGCATGAATCCATATATGGATTCGTAAATCGATATGCTTATTTATCCATTTTCAATTCGTATGGCATCAAAGCCTCTGATCAGAGCCCTGCCATTCTTAATGGATGACCGTCCAAAGCTCCTGCGCGCGACACAGAGGAGTTCACCGGCATTCTCATGTGCCGCCGCATGATGTTTTTATTCTTGAGTTACCTTAGTAAGCCCGGTGCACTTTTTGTTCCAATATGCCTGAGGATAAAACTTTCATGGTCTCACTAACAGCAAAAATCCGAACACAAACATAATGGTTCTAGTCATTTATGGTGAAGCCAAACAATAAAAATCTATCTTCTAAGCATTGATGAAGACGATCATGTTGCTGATGACCCTCTGAAAGATGCTGCTACGAAGAAGACATGGAAAAGAGATGATGCTAGGTTGCTCTTATAGATTTTAGATTCGTTTGACACTTGAAAGTTGAAAGTGATTTGATTTGATTAATCATCGTGGAGCTGTTAAAGAGCGAGCGACTAATGCAATTTTCATTTTTTTTAGCCATGGCAAAGGGGATATTACATGTGTGCATGAATTATTTAAAGCCTTTGATTGCGCTTTAGAAACAAAACAAGTCACTTACAACCTACTTTATACACAGAGTTAAATGATCTGATGTTTTTTAACACAGACTCTAAGGTGTTCTGCTTATTTCTGATTCTCACATTTTGTCTCTTATCAATAACTTGTGCTTCACACAATTAATACTCAATCTGTTATAAATACTCAATCTGTTTCACCCGCAATCATCTAAATGCCAGAGCAAAGCATGGTTCTTATCAGCAAAAAGTGATGTTCATAGTTCATCCCCACGTCACCAGATTGTATCCTAAATCTCTGAAATCCATTTTCTTGGGTAATACAAGTTCCTGATAGGGACATTTGTGTTATTGTCTTAATATTGACTGAGGTTTGGTTTCTGTGGATGTTACCTTTCACAGTTCCAATCTCTTTACCATTGTGTACTTTATGGTCACATTACTCAGGGGAAGGACATTGATGTTTTAATTTAATGCGCCATACATATTTCTGTTTTTGGCATTTTCCTCTTAGATTGTTAGTGATATACTTATATGCAGCATAGGTTTCTTTAAATTTCAGTTCAGGAAAAATTTGTAGCTAGCTCACTCACCACAACAACAACAACCCAATAGAATCCCGCAACAACAGTGGTTTGAGGAGGGTATGTGTGCGTAGACCTTACCCCTATTAAAAGTAGAGGTTGTTTCCAAGAGACTCCCAGCTCAAGCAATACAAAAAACAGCTAGTACAACAAAAGCTCAAAGAGCAAGCCAAAGGGTAAGAAAAGTGCACTAAGATAAAAGACACATTTGGACTAAACCTGAAAAAGCAATAACAAAAAGTTGGCGTATTATTTTATTTCAAGTTAAGCTAAAAGGATCATATCTTCATTCTTATTTGCACATTTTTTGTTCAACCTTCACAACTAAATGTACATGGTTTATTCTACTCGTTTGATCTCAGTTAAAAGTGATGGGCATATATCTTAGTTCTCCAAAAACAGAGAAGCTCTCAGAGGATGGTGAGAATATGGGGCTTAGATATGGGTTATCATGCATGCAAGGATGGCGTGCAACAATGGAAGATGCGGTGAATATTTACTACCCATTCTGATATATTTTGGTCATCTGATGTTTGTGGTTCAAATTTATTGAATTTTCAACTAATCAAATGCTCAGTATCAGATAAATTGTGGTATATTCAAGAAGATATAATGTTTTAAGAGTTATGTAGTTATTATTCTTAAAAAGTGATCCAAAAGTTTTCTACATATCATGGCTTTATCTCAATAAAAGACACACACCACTTATCCAAACACAATTTCAAGTTAGTTTTTATCAAGCTCATGAGCAGACCTCTTCGATGGATCACATTTTTGCTATAATATAAATTTTATATTTCAAATTAGTGTATTGTATCTATCATCATCATTACTATTAATAAAACAAATTTTATCCACTCACTTGTGCTGAGTTGTGCATAATATTCAACCATTTAACCCAAGTTTTACCAATGACAAGTGAGCTCCTATTTATTTATTTATTCTTTATTTATGACCAACAAAAGCCTAGAAAACACACTTTTTTATAACCACACTTCATAGTGTCATTAATGTGCTCCATAACTTATTGCTGAGACGCTCTGAAGTTGTGAGTGCTTGTTGGATTCACAGTATAAATCAATCTTCTCTAAATATTTTTGTTCATTATTTTAGCATGCTGCGATCCTTGACTTGGACACTTCGACTTCTTATTTTGGCGTTTATGATGGTCATGGAGGTAATTATATTAAGGTTTATATCATTTGATGACTTTTTATTAACTTTATAGTGGCACATGATGATGCCCTACAAATCACAGAGGCAACTTCTTTTCATAAGATAGTTTCTTTAACTATTTGATGTTCACAACTTTATTCTTACCTCATATTTTCCTGTTTGTCTCTCCATCCTTTAACGAGTTTTACTTGATCTCCAACATAATTTTATATACTTCCTCCGTCCCATAAAAGATTGCACACTTTGACTTCATGTTTATTCTGAAAGGTGTTGAAAAGATAATAAAAAGTAAAAAGTGTGTAGTCAGAACTTGATTGGAACAGAGAAGTATTTTGGACTACATATTCTTTTCAAAAAGAGGAAAGAGAAGAAGTGAAAAAGTTATTTTGCAGGGAAGGTTGTTGCTAAATTCTGTGCCAAATATCTTCATCAACAAGTAATTAAGCATGAAGCATATCAAGCTGGTGATATTGGAACTTCTTTGCAGAAATCTTTTTTAAGGTAATTTTCTTGAGACTCTTCTTTTTTGCTGGTTTTTAGATACTCCTTCCGACCCAATAGACAATGCCAAGTTTGACTTGGCGCGAACAATTCGAAAACAAAAAGTTGAAAACTGTATGGTTTAGATTTATTTAAAAGAGAGCAAAACAACATGAACCATAAATTTTTCACTTTAAAAGAAAAATGGTAACATGTTCGTTGACCCAAGTATTATTTTTAAGACTTGGCATTAATTATGTAGATCAAATATGTAATGTTTGTTTATGATGTTCGTAAGATGATTCTGCAAATTATATTTAATTTGATGCTTAAGTAAACATGGTTTAGAAATCAGTGCCATCATGATCGCCTTCATCCCAACTATCAGAAAATTTATTTAAAAAAACTAAGCCTTATATCCCAAGTAACTTGGGGTTGGCTACATGAACTAAGAGGAGAATCACATCTGGTCATTTGCAGAATGTTCTCTCGCCATTTCCTACGCCTAACCATACTCTTGACTACATTCAGTCAAGAGAAATTTCTCCTAATTACATTCTCCCACGTGCTTTTGGGACTCTGCACAATTCATTTGAACACTCCCTCAAGTCTTCTAACTGGTACTTCATTAGGTCCTGTTTTTATGGGTTCACACTTCAAACCTTCACAATCGATTCTCTTTGAGTTTATCAAAATGTATGTCGTCAATTAATTGTATAAATTAGTTTACACAAAAAACATGTTGAAAATGGTTCATGCCGGAAGCCCTTCCGGTCACAACTTTGCATATTGCAAATTGCAACCTTTTAAATAAGTAATAGTGAGATCAATCACCAAGGCACACAACAAATGTGGTTTAGAAATATTGTTTATTACTCTTTCTGTTCGGCATGCAAGCCTGATCTTGTTTGCTTGTGTTATTGTGTAACTTTAACATTTTTTTGGATACACTCTACAACAACAACAACAACCCAGTTAAATCCCACAAGAGTAGGGCAACAACCCAGTTAAATCCCACAAGAGTAGAGTAGGGTCTGGGGAGGGTGTGTGTACGCAGACCTTACCCCTACTCGAAAGTAGAGAGGCTGTTTCCAAAGAGACCCCCGGCTCAATGTCGAAAGTTTCATTGCTTGACTAACTGCTACTTCATTACTTAAAGAAGCACAGACATTTTAGAGATCCATTTTGATTTATTCCATCACACCCCAAAGCCAAAAAATGGTGAAATTTTGGCTCCATTGGAGATGATGGAAAGCACTCTATTTCACCTAAAAGCACCAGTACATATATCATTGTGTGAAAGGGGTTAATTCTTCTTGTAAGGCCAAATATCCAGTAGCAAACCTAAGGACTGATATAACCAAAAACGGGTTTAAAAGTACAGTCCTACAGACATCCTCTTTTTCAGGCCAATGGGGGTCTTTCTTCTTTCATTTTCACACTGCTTCAAGTTTGTATTATTAGATAGTATTCAGTTCCCATGTGTGAATTTGAATGTTAATTTATATTGAATCTTACTCTGATTCTCTTCTAGATTAATAAGTTTGTCGAGCATTTTTAATGTTTTTTTGCAACTATGCATGTTTATTTGCGGAGTATTATCTATATATGCCTACTAAGAGTAAGAAGTAATGTTTTTACCTTTTATTTTCATTTGAGAAGTTTGGAGTGGTATTCAGGTTTCTCCGGTCATTCTAACCTTGTTTTATATATGATGATGAAGAATGGATGAGATGATGCGTGGACAGAGAGGGTGGCGGGAGCTTGCTGTTCTGGGTGATAAATTGATCAAGCTCACCGGTCTGATAGAAGGTTTGATATGGTCCTCAAGAAACTCCGAAGGAAACGATCAGCATGATGATTGGGCGTTTGAGGAGGTATTTGAAACTATGATATGAGCCGTATTATTTAGTTAAATAGTTCATGACAAGTAGTTATGCTACCAAAGTTCATTGATGTCATTGTTCTACTACCTGTAAGGCTGTAACAAAACCTTAGTCCTATAATAATGCTCATTGTTTTCATTCTTCTTGTATTTTGTGGAGTCGTGGCTAATTGCTAATCACACTGTTAGGGACCCCACTCTGATTTTTCTGGACCCACTTCTGGAAGTACAGCTTGTGCTGCAATCATTAGAGGCAACCACCTTGTTGTTGCCAATGCCGGTGACTCCCGCTGTGTGATTTCAAGGAAGGGTCAGGTAGTGGATAACCTACGAAGACTATAATACGCTATTTGTACGAGGATATTTTAGGCAGACCTGTTTTTACATTCTTGTCTTCTCGATACTCGAGCGAGTCACAACATTTGACTTGCACTTCGGGGAGTTGGGAGACCATGCTTCTGAATGGCCTACCTATAGAAAAATTTATTGAGCAATTGCTATCATGTATATTGTAGTGCCTGAGCTGAATTTTCTTTCATGCAGGCATACAATCTGTCAAGGGATCACAAACCTGAGCTTGAGGTTGAAAGAGAACGGATTTTGAAAGCCGGTGGTTTCATTCATCATGGACGAGTGAATGGAAGTCTAAATCTTGCAAGAGCTATAGGTATTATATATTTATATCTTCTTCTATTATTCTTCTCATCACTATGAATATATGTTTGGACGGAAGAGAGAGAGAGACAGAGAGAGAGAGAGAGAATCCATAACAATTTTTTTAAATTGAGAGAGTATCCATTGTTCAGTAGCAGGAAATGCCAGCAGCAAGCTTGCTCTTCTCTGGCAAGAGCTATTTCTCGCACCACCCCTCATTGAAGCTATGAACTACTCCCTCTGTCCCATTAAAAGACCAATGCTCATGCTTTTTAATGGTTGTACCTTACCGAAATTTAATGTTGCAACTTTATGAAACCAGACTCTCTTAATGAAATGGAGAGAGCTTTAGAATTCTTGCTTTTACTCTTCTCCTAAGAAAACCCCCTTAGTTATATCAAACCTATAATATTTTTAAAAAAATGTATAGTATTAAGGATGCTGATGTGCTATGATCTCAAAATCAAGGTCAAATATGCACCTGATGGTTTTATTCCTTTCCGCTCTCTGGCAAGTGTCAACTATTCAGTGTTCCTCACCCTGTGTTCCTGTTTATATCAACATGAAAATAGGCTCACTCTCTTTAATACTGCCACAACTGAAAATTGACATCTCATCTATTCACAGAATGCACAAGAATTGCAGCCATAACACTATTTTTCCAATGTTTGCAGGAGACATGGAATTCAAGCAGAATAAGTTTTTGCCAGCTGAGAGGCAAATAATAACGGCCAATCCAGACATAAATACAGTACTCTCTCTCTCTCTCTCTCACCACCCATGCTAGCCCACACACTCATTGTTTAAGTGAAGCCAAGTTGGGGATTTTCGTTTATTTGGATGCAACATGTTAGATCTTTTTAAATCTACCATTTTTTAATTTTTAGTATCTGGAAAATACAACATTGGCATTATCTTTTTTAGTAGAGACATATCATAAATGGGAAAGAGGGTTAGACACCTTTTAATATTATGCTCTTTTTCCATCCAAAAAAATAGTACATTTAGCTTTGGATCTTATTGTGTTTTTTTAACTCCCACTTTACCCCTACGTTGTTACGCCCCTGTATACCATGATGAATTATTTTTTCATTCAATTTAGTGTGTTTAGCTTTCCTCCTCAAAGACGACTGACGAGCTATTATCAGCTACGGAGAGAAAATAATATGCCCAAGCCGTTTCCTCCATTTTTTCATCGCAAAGCCGAGCAGCAACTGGTCATCCCAAATAGCGCTGCCAGGGTAGGGAGGGGGGGTTTAGGGAGGAGGTTAGAGGGGTAGGAACCATCATTTTTACCAACGGGGCACCGTAGGTGCCTCAAACAAACTGGTGTAAGCAAATGACACCAGTAAGATGGGTTATATATTCATTTTTTTCTCAATTGTTTTATAGGTTGAGTTATGTGAGGATGATGATTTTATGGTGCTAGCTTGTGATGGCGTATGGTACGTGCTTTAGACTGCTCTTCTTTGCTTCTTTTTTTCTTTTGTTTTTGTATGGAAATTTTGAAAGAACCAGAAGTGATATGATTGAACTACAAAGCAGTACTGACACGATACTTCAAAACTCAATATTCTGGCACATCTGGTTTCCTAGAAAGCATCAATCCAAAACTAACCTGTCCTACTCTGACTATGTGTGTGTGTGTGCGTGCGTGTGTGTGCATGCTAATAACATTTCTATCTCCTCTAAACAAATTCCATTGACATGCTTTACACTTTTCAGCAATTATATTCAACTCCATTAAGTCAAACTAGGACATTTATTTAGGGATGGAGGGACTAGGGAGTATCAGGATTATGTGCTTCTTAAATCAGTGTATTGTTCTTACCTCTTAAGTTTGGGATTCAGATGTCTAGTATTCTTAGACTTCTTAAAATAATTCTCTCTATTTTAGATAATCATCTTTTTTTTGAAAAGGAAAAAGGATAGGATATGGAATGATTTCTAGATTATGAATCCAAAAGATATGGAACCATATTCTAATCTAAGGTTGATGAACAATCAGTCTACCACTATTTGTTTTTTCTTTTAACTTTTTACTCCCTCCGTCCCGCTATATTCGTCCACTTTTGACTTTTGGAACTGTTCATCTAAGCACTTTGACTCATCAAATTCTCTCAATGTGTAAGTCTAAATATAGTCATGTGTGATCTTGTTTGATTTGTCTTAACATATAGATTATTAATATATAATTTCTATAATTTTTCAATATACAAATTACAAGATAAAATGGATTAAAGAAGTGTATTGGATGGTGTGTAAAAATGAAAGTGGACAAATACTCTGGGACGGAGGTAGTATTTATTAAGCACAAGCTTCTAGCTTCATACGGTGATGATGCTGAATGTGAACATTGTACATTTATACTTACTACATGTGCTGGATTTGATTGATCCTCTTCTATATTCAGGGATTGTATGTCTAGCCAGCAATTGGTTGATTTTATACATGAGCAGCTGCACTCTGTAAGTGCTCTGGAGCTGATTATATATGCACTGCCTTGATTAAAAGATGAACTAAAGGTTCTATTTAACTACAAAAAGCAAAATTGAATATGATAAAAAAAGGGTGTTGCTAATCCACTCCTTAAATGGCTAAACCCACACATTTCACCTACTTTTGCTAAACCCACACCTCTTGATATAAATTTATTATTGATGTGGATTTTGCAAAATTAGGTGAAAGTTGTGGATATAACCATTTGGAAGTGGATTTAGCAACACCCTAAAAAAATCTTATACTATAAAATGTGTAGGAGAATAAAAAAATTAGGTTGACCACTAAAGGACAACTTCGAAGGACATAAAATTAAGGGGGAAAATGTTCTATTTTTTAAATTAGTTTTTACATATTTGTTCAAACTCATTGTATTTGGCTATATGTATATACTCCCTATATCTTACTCTGTAGATCAAGAAGACTAAGAATTGTGGTCATGCAAAATTTAAATGCTATAATCAATTTGAGCTTTTTAGTATTTGTGAAGGCAAAACCAAACACTGCCATTTTTTTATTTTTATCTTTTGCATTTTTCTCATTCCAAACGTAGCCTAATTCGATTGTGCAGGAGAGTAAGCTTTCGGCAGTGTGCGAGAGAGTTCTAGACACGTGTTTGGCGCCCTCTACGGCTGGAGGCGAGGGATGTGACAACATGACTATGATATTGGTTCAGTTTAAGAAACCAATTCAATCGGAACCTCATGACTTGCCTGAATGCGACAGAAAGTTGCCACAAGTGAATGGGAAACCTCATGACGAGTCTGCCGAATCGGTTGAATGCGGATCAAGTTCATGGCAGATGTGTATATAGTGTGTGTGTGTCTAATATAGTCATTGTGAAATTCCAAACTGCAACTCTGCATGAAAATATTATTCTTGTGGTTCCCTTTGTGACTGCAATGTAATGAATGTACTGTAAAAATGGAAAATGACTGCATTTGTATATAATAATACTATCATGGAGGACCTTTTCTCTCTAATCTTCCAAGGATTTATCTTTTTTTTTTAATAATGAAGTTTGTTTGTGTAAAGGGAAAAAGCATTGTTTTGGTCCCTCAATAGTTTTTGATATCACAATGTGGCTTCATCATTGTCAAGTAATTTATTGTTTTTTTACTGTAGTTGGCGCTAAGAAGAAAAGGATTGCATTGCTATATAACACTACTCCTCACGTCCCAAAATAGATTTGTTTACAAAGTAAACCTTTGAGTGTTTAGAAAACGACTTTTCAAATGACTTTTGACTTCTTTCGAACCTTTTGATGTGTTTTGACTAATATACTATAATTATTCATGTGTCAAAAGATTGAAATAGCATTTATGATTTATTGTATGAATGAATAATGCAATTGCAAGGGATTTTTTTTATAAAAAAAACTTAATAGAATTATTAACACTAAAAAACTCCCTAATAAAAATATTTGATTTTGTTAAATAAACGTAAATAAATATTTTTTATAAAATTATCGAGGGATTGGAGTAAAAAAAGTTAATATATGAGAGTAAAAAATTCTTTCGTTCTTCTTCTTCTCTTTCAAACTCTGTCATAAAGGCCATCAACAAAGCCAAAAGCTCTCAAACCCAAAATCGCCAATGTTGAAGTAGTAAAAATAAATCGCCAATTTCCGAAGTAAACTTTAAAAATTGATCACATCTTCCACAGAGCCCTTGCACTATAATAATCAACTGCTAGATTCCATTTCTTCTTCAGCGTGGATCGGGGAGCTCAGCCAAGGAAGACGACCCCTCCCCTCTCTCTTAATCGCATCTCTCACTAGTAGCCAGGAGGAGGAGCTCTCCTGCAATGGCGCTCAATCTTCGTCAGAAACAAACCGGTAAATTCACTTCAATTTTCGCCCCCCCCCCGTTTCTGGATCTCTCTTTTTTTCTCTCTGTGTGTGGATTGCATTGTCTAACTTGGATCTGATATTGAATCTGATCGAATCTTGTCCGCTCCGCCGCAGAGTGCATAGCGAGGGTGTTGAATCTGAATCAGCCGGTGAATGCTGGCGGGACGGCGAACGAGGAGGTGTATAAGATCCTCATCTACGACCGCTTCTGCCAGGACATACTGTCGCCGCTCATCCGTGTCAAGGACCTCCGCAAGCACGGCGTCACCCTCTACTTCCTCATCGACAAGGATCGCAAGCCCGTCCACGACGTTCCGGCCGTCTACTTTGTCCAGCCCACCCACTCCAATGTCACGCGCATCATCGCCGACGCCTCAAAGTCTCTCTATGACTCCTTTCACCTCAATTTCTCCTCCTCCATCCCCAGACCCCTGCTGGAGGACCTCGCATCAGGTACACATTCCTTTCATACCTTCCTCATCTCTTTGTTTCTTTTTCCTCGAATTGTTGTTGCATAGCGTTGTTTAGGGAGTATAAACTAGTCCTTTTTTGTCACTACTGTTACACATATCAAATTCAAATCGTTGATAGCTACATACAAGCAAAAATTCCAGCCTACCATGTGTTTACACTTGCTAGCTTCATTCTGTTATGACCCATTTTGAAATTTTGCACCGTTTGTGAAATTCTTTTGCTTTGCTCTTTGCATTAATCTTCATTTGCATTTGAAAAGAATTGTAGATCCAAATGCAATGGTCTTGAAAGAATGCATTGTTTTTTTTCTTTTTCCGGACACTGACAATGGAGAGTGGATGTATGATGTTATAACTCCCCAGGTACTATTGGTTCGGACTCTATTCAGAGGATAGCAAAAGTGCATGATCAGTACTTGGAGTTTGTGACCCTTGAGGACAATTTATTTTCACTCGCAAACAAGAACTGCTATGTTCAGTTGAATGATCCCTCTGCAGGTGATAAAGACATTGAGGAGATCATTGAGAAGATTGTGAGTGGCTTGTTCTGCGTTTTGGCTACGCTTGCTGTGGTGCCAATTATCAGGTGCCCCCGTGGGGGCCCAGCCGAGATGGTGGCGTCGTTGTTGGATCAGCGTCTGCGAGACCATTTGTTGGTGAAAAACAACTTGTTTTCCGAAGGCGGCAATTTTTCCATATCGTTTCAGAGGCCTGTTTTGTGTTTGTTTGATAGGAATTTCGAGTTGTCTGTTGCTATTCAGCACGACTTTAGGTATAGGCCCCTTGTTCATGATGTTCTTGGGTTGAGATTGAATAGGCTGACTGTGCAAGGGGAGAAGGGCGGAGGGACGAAATCATTCGAGCTGGACAGATCTGATCCGTTCTGGATGGCAAACGGATCACTGGAATTCCCAGAGGTGGCTCTAGAGATTGAGAACCAGCTGAATAAATACAAGAAGGATGTGGAGGAGGTGAACAGGAGAACCGGAGGCAATGATGGTGGGGCCGAGTTTGATGGGACCGATTTGATTGGCAACACGAAGCATTTGATGAATGCTGTGAATTCACTGCCTGAGCTGACCGAAAGGAAGCAAGTGATAGACAAGCACACTAATATTGCGACTGCATTGTTGGGCGAAATCAAGGAGAGGTCTCTTGACACATATGCGAAAAAAGAGGACGACATGATGGTCAAAGGCGGGATTGACCGCAGCGAGGTCCTTGGGGTGCTAAAGGGGAAGGGGACAAAGTTGGACAAGCTCCGGTTTGCCATCATCTACATCATTTCAAGTGAGAACATCCCTCAATCAGAGATTGAAACGATTGAGGCTGCCCTAAGAGAGAGCGAGGTGGACACAAGCGCCTTTCAGTACGTGAAGAAAATAAAATCCCTAAACGTTTCGTTAGCTTCTGCGAATTCAGCAGCCAGCAGGAACAATATTGTGGATTGGGCAGAAAAGCTGTACGGGCAGTCAATCAGTGCTGTGACTGCCGGTGTGAAAAACCTCTTAGCCGGTGACCACCAGTTGGCGCTGTCCAGAACAGTTGAAGCGCTGATGGAGGGGAAGCCGAACCCAGAAACCGACCCTTACCTCGTCTTCGATCCACGTGCCCCTTCAGCAAGCAGCGGGGTGCATCTGCCCAAAGGGCCATTCAAAGAGGCCATAGTGTTCATGATTGGAGGTGGGAACTACGTGGAGTATGGCAGCTTGCAGGATCTTGCAAACCGGCGGCATCAGCAGCAGCAGCAGCAGCCAGTCAAGCATATCATATACGGCACCACGGAGATTCTAACCGGAGGTGAATTTGTAGAGCAGCTTGCAGTGCTGGGGAAGAAGATGGGGTTAGGAAGCAGCGCCCCGGCGACCCATTAATACATTCTTGTACTCCGTAGTATATATATATCATTATTTATAACTATATGTGTGTGTTTGTGTTCTTGCATTTTTACAAACAAACTCAACCTTCACGGCCAGTGGTAACAAAACAACAATGGCTATATCTGAACTGAACAGAACTGTGGGTTTTTGCCAGTAATATTTTGTTGTTGGAACGATGGATTGCCATTTAATGGTCATGATGACATTCATAGCATTGCTGTTGAAATCTGTGACTTACAAATTGTACTGCGATTAATAGATTGATTGTATTTTACGCTTGGATTTGAACACAAATTTTCATTCATTATTGTAAAAAAGTCATGCCACTTCTCGTCTTTTTTTAAAAAAAATTTAACAAAATGAATAATGTTTTCACGCAATTGATGAACTTGAATCGATTGAATTGGTGTAAAATTGAAGACATGTTTAAGCATTTGTTGCCAACAACTTTAAAAAAAAAAACCCAATAAGAAGTCTATTACTCACTCTGTTCACACACAATGCCATAAACCAAAATAGTTACAATGACCAATTCAAAATGGAAGCAAAGGGTAGGTTCATTCATCATCATATTCATTCATAAGTAGGCAGGCAGGTCCTCAACTGCTACCTTGACAACATCGGTACGGACACCAATATCGGTGGCGTAACGGCTCATGCAGTACATCCCCGCCGTGACTGCAGCCAAGCCGACCGGCCCGGCGGCGGGCATCAGCAACCTGAGAGGAGAAGAGACGAGCGCCGCCAATGGGGCGCCGATGGCCGAGGATGCCTGCCCGCTCCTCCCCACCCCCATCTTGTCCAGGCTCAAAAGCCCCGTCTTGCAGTACAGGGCAAAGTCTTCGCAGTTGTTCCGGAACACGTCGTAATCCCCAAACCCGTTGTTTTGGAGGAGAAGATGCATCGCTCGGTGTACGACCGTCTCGGGAGGGTCGGATGGCGCGGTGGTGCACGTGCCCCCTCGGAGTTTGGCATGGAAGACGCAAGGGCTCACCCCGTACTCGAAGCAGTAAAGGGAGCCATTCTTGAGGAAGCAGTCCAGACAGGAGAGGACTACTCCGCTGCCGCCACTGTTTGGTTGCTGCTGGAATCCACAGTCAGGGAAGTTTGGGCAGGCTGATGATGATGATGAAAGGTTCGGCAACATTAATTCATCCTCGTCCTCGTCCTCGTCAGCACCACCGGCAATGGAGCTCTCGGTGCGGGTAAAATGAACAACTTTGCTTCCACCAACATATATGCCTGTGTGTGTTTATTATTATAATCCAAGTTGCATCCACAAATTAAATAATGCCCCTTGTGAGTTCTGATGATAGACAATGGTGTACTACTACAAGATTCAGATGAAAATAATGACTCTAATTACATTTGGCATACACATCTAAGGCCCCGTTTGGGAATAGCGTTAACGTTTTGGATAAAATTTCAATGGTGCAGATTAACTTTGAAAACATTAACGCTAAACGCTACCTGTATATAGCCTTCTAAAAACGCTAACACTAACCTCTAATGATATTCCCAAGCAGGCCCTAAATTCAACTTATCTGTATTAGATTGAAGGAGATAGCTGTTGTGTGCACCAAAACAATGAGACAAGAACACAAGATGTACTCAAACACGTTTAAAATTCCTTCCAATGCAGATGAGAAATAATACACCCACTCTTAACTTCACTTGCCAATGGAGCTAGAACAATTACTTTGGAGAAGAAATAATGAACTAAATCAAAATGACATGTTAAACAACCCTTTCTTTAATTCTCTTATGAAGTTTTGGGCTGTACATGGAACAAAAACAAAACCCACAAAATGCAAAAATTGCCAAGCCCTAATTAAGATCATCATCCCATCGAGATTGCAAACTAGAATCGGGGATCAATACAAAGCAAATTTGACACACCCATTCCAGAAACGCAGCCGGCAGGCAGATTTTAAAAGCTCAACAGAAAACAAACAATAATTGAAGGAATCAATCAAAATCACAGAAATTGGGCGAAAGGGAAGAGTATAGAGCAGATTGGAATTAAAGGGGCCATATTTACATACCGTGGTGGGAGTAGGCAAAAACGGCCCTGTATGTGTATATGTGATCCCCCGGTTTGATCTCGCTTCTCTCCGCTCTGTTTGTGAGCAACCCCATCTCGCATTCTCACTCCACCAAACTCCAAAAAAATCTTCTAATACACACAGGAGGAAAGTGAAGAAATGAACCGTGCAAAGTTCCCTCCTAAACTTCTCTGGTATGAGTTAGATATTCATTTCGGTGAGAGGGTTGGGCAAAGGAGGAGGAGCTTGATCCGATTGGACTGTCTTGAATTAGATATGTAACTTTTTTGTTGCTGTGAAAACATTAATATTTGGGTAGGCGTAGAGCTGGCAAATCGGTCGGTCATATCGGGTTCAGGTTCGGTCACTTCAAGTTCGGGTTATTTCGGGTTCGGGTCAATTCAGGTTCGGGTTAAGAAGTGTATATTCATGACCCAGTGTCATCGGGTTCGGGTCGACCCAACAGATTATGACTTTGGTTTTTTAAAATTTTAAATTCACATTAACACTTACATTTTCTATTAAATAAATTTAAAATATAAAAAAAAAGTATTGAATTTATAAAATTATTTTATTTAAAACTCTGAAATAATTTTTAGATATATAAATCAATATAAGAAATTTAAATATGCTAAAGTTTTGGAAAAAATTAAGATAATTATGCAATATCATTAAAATTTTGTCTTAATATCATAAATTTATACACTAAAAACGAGTAGTAAAGTGTAAAATTTTGAAAAATTCTTACTTTAGCGCGTCGGTCAGGTCGGGTTCGGATTCGGTCGGGTTTGACCCATTTTTAGCGGGTCATTTCGGGTTCGGTCATCAAAACCTTTGTTCAAAACCCAGTGTTTTCAGGTCGGGTTTCGGGTCAAAAACAGGTTGGGTCATTTTTTGCCAGGTCTAGGTAGGCGTGCCCCAAATATTCCCCACTCTTCCATAATCATTCATTTTTATTTATTTTTTATTTATTCATTTTTTTAATTTTCTTACCTATTTTTGTGGACAAGTAAGAGGTGAGGGACATTTGGGGTACACATTTGGTTACCCCTAAGCTTAGGATAAGATAAACATGTTCATTGCTACACCCTTAAGGGTAAATTGTATTTGATTCCTTCCAAAAAATGACTGATAACACACTTCTTCTCAAAGTGCAATTTACCCCTGATTTTGACAGGTCTTCACATCTTAGAAAAAAAATATGAAGAAATCACTAAGGGGCTGTTTGGCAACTTCTGAATAGGTAAATGTTTAACCAGTAAGAGGTCTGAACCATTATGTGCTGAACCACTAAGAGGTTTGAACCATTAAGAACTAGTATATTGCTTAACTATTCAGAGGCAAATGTCTGATCAATTTAGATAAGAAGTCTTAACCATTCAGACTCTGTATAATACTTAACCATTTAGAGGCAAATTTCTGAACCATTAAGAGGCTGAAACAAACAGCCTAAACCATTAAGTACTGAACCATTCAGACATCTGAACCATTAAGAAGCTGAAACAAACAGCCCTAAGTAGCCATTCTTTAAGATTGTATTTCTTTTGTTGGGATGTTCACACTTTAAAAATCTGTAGGGTCTCAAATCCCTGACCATAATAATTGTTTCTTCAATCCGGGCCGGGCCCAACAGTTTAAGGGGCATAACTTTTTTAAAATATTTTATATATATTGAAGCCCAGCCCAGCCAAAGCCCAAAACTCCCTAGCCCTCCTACTATTTCCGTTCCACAGAAGAAGCCAAACGCCCAAACCCAAGCACGAACGGAAATTGAAAAAGACGCCAGAAGGAAGTCGCCGAGAGAGAGAGTTGCCGCCGACCGCCAGACGCTGCGGCCCGCCTGCACGCTCCACTGCTGCAGAGTCTAGCCGCTTCCCGCCAGACGCCGCCTCGCCGGAAACTCTCCAGCCTCCAGGTCCAGGAGTCCAGGTACGGAGGTAAAAAAATACTAATTTCAGAATTTCTTCAAGAATTTTACAACTTGTTATGTGTAAATATGAAAAATCTTTAATCTTTATAAAGTTGTGTTATGAATTTGTTATGAATTTGACAATTTGTTATATGAATTTGTCATGTGAAAAATTGAAAACCTTTATTTGAATTTTTTGCTAATTGTTATGAATTTGTTGTGAAAATATGAAATTCTATTGATTTTGTAATATGAAGAGCTTTTTTTGGAAATTTAAAGTTTGTATTTGTGTATTTGATTTCACTAAGATGTGATCAACCAATTTTCTCTAAAAAATGCAAGAAGAACTTTACAAATTCTCGGCTAGCTTTTACACTCTGTAATTATACTACTATGATTTTGTCATTTACCTATTTTCTTTTAATACTATTGGGTTAATTGTCATTTAAATATAATTAGTTTACATATTTTAATTGTTTAGACTAATAGGGAATTAGGGATAAGACTTTTTAGGCCTTTTTATTCTGTCTCGGCCCAGGCCGTTGAAGTCTTAGGACCGGCCCTGATACTTTCCATGTCTTTGAAAGAATTGTACTTGTACACAAGCCTTTTCTTTGAGTTTTTACTCAGTGGATCTGAGCTATTTATCTTTAAACATATCTGAACTTCATATTTACCAACTTTCTTTAGGTGGTTGCATCTGAACTTCATATTTGCCAGAAACAATGGAGGAGACGAAGAAGTTTTCAAAGCTTCAATTATTTAACAGTATGACGAAACAAAAAGAGATATTCACTCCGATGAATCCTGGAAAAGTCGGAATGTATGTCTGTGGCATTACGCCCTATAACTTTAGCCACATCGGCCATGCTCGTGCCTATGTTGTGTTCGATGTTCTCTTCAGGTCCGCACATTTCCATTATTTATAATGATATACATATATATATATGTGTGTGTGTGTTTGTGTGTGTGTGTGTGTGTATATATATATATATATATATATATAAGTCATCTTGCTCGCAGAATTTGAACTTTTTTTTGACTTAATTTGTTTACTTTGTGTTTTGCTGTGCTGAATTGGACTTGATAAATAGTTTATTATCTAACCTGTCACTTTGTTAATTTGTTTGGGGGTGGGGGTGGGAGGGAGGAAGGAGGGAAGGGGGTGTAATGTGGATGCTTGGAGAAAGAAATTTTATTGGAGCTTTTTGTTATTTCCAGCTTAGGTATTGAGATATGAATGTTTTATGGAGATGATTGGTATTCTGAGTTCTATCCTCTCTTCAAGCACACTGCTACAATAATGGTGTAAAAAGTTTGGTGTGTGCCACTTTTTGGGTGTCTTGTGTACCATTGTAGCACACTGCTGCATTTAGGCCTGTTTTTTTCTTAGTTTTGGAGTTCTCATTCTGAATATGAAGGGCATAGCAGTAATTTCTATCAGTGTGTTTCAGGTACTTGGAACATCTTGGTTATGAGGTTACTTATGTGCGCAACTTCACTGATGTTGATGACAAGGTTAGGAAGGGCTTCTAAGAACAACTCTTCAATGATGTTTTTGATGAAAAAAATACATTGGTTGGCTTAGTTTTTTTATCTCCCCAAAATTATTGTTATCTCTACCTAAAGAGAGAGATGCATCATTACTGAAGGCTTTAACTTGTATCTCTGTGTTTTCAGATTATCAATCGAGCAAATGAGCTCAATCAGAATCCGATAGCTTTGAGTGCTTGGTATTGCGAAGAGTTTCGTAAGGACATGAAAGATCTCCAGTGCCGCAGTCCAACGATTGAGCCGCGTGTCTCTGACCATATGGAGCAAATCAAGAAAATGATTGCTCGGGTATTCCAGTTGCTTTTTTCTTTTTATGTTTGAATTTTCTATTGCTTGACATGTGCAATTGTCATGTTTCTTTGTCAATTGAATATGTATATGGATTCAAATAAGTTGAGGCTGCAGTAGTAGTATTGGCATTCCTACAATCTGATCATGTATTGAAGATTTATCATGTCAAAGTCAGAATTGTACGGAGTTGTGGAATTTGTAAAATTCTATGCTAAGCTACATCATTTAGTGTAATTCTTCGTTGGCTTGTTTTCAACAATTCATTCATAGGCTGACATGAGCATTTGTAGATCATTGAGAATGGCTGTGCATATCTGCTTGATGGGGATGTTTATTTCTCGGTTGAAAAGTTCCCAAATTATGGTCGATTAAGTGGACGGAAGGGAGAAGATAATAAAGCAGGAGAACGTGTTGCGGTTGATTTTAGAAAGAGAAATCCTGCTGACTTTGCTTTGTGGAAGGTTAAAAGAATCTTTTGGAACTGTGATAGGCATTGTCTTCTCTTTATTGGAGCCTGCAAGGAATCACTTTTGTTTGTCTTTTCTCAGGCCGCGAAACCTGGCGAACCTAGTTGGGATAGCCCATGGGGTCCTGGAAGACCTGGATGGCATATAGAATGCTCTGCTATGAGTGCTGAGTATTTGACTCATAGATTTGATATTCATGGTGGTGGGATAGATTTGCTTTTCCCTCATCATGAGAATGAGATAGCCCAAAGTTGTTCAGCGTGCCCAGAGAGTGAAATTACTTGCTGGCTACACAATGAATTTGTCACAGAAAATAACTTGAAAGTATCAAAATCGTCTAAGCATTTCAAGACTATCCGTGAGGTGCTTTACTGCAGTATTCTTTTTTTTCTTTCTGGGCGTGTCTTGTGGGGATTCTTGCAGCTGTCGTTTATCAAATTTGTCTGATCCAGTCAGTTTGATTCATTTGTGTTGTAGGTGACAGAATCGTATCATCCCCTTGCATTGAGGTACTTTTTATTGGGGACTCACTATCGTTCTCCAGTAAACTACTCAATTCCACAGATGGAAATTGCATCAGTAGCAGTTTTCTACATATATCAGGTAAATCTGTGATTGAATTAATGTCAAAATGTGATCTTAATAAGGTGTAGTGAAATCGGCACAAGTTCATACCACCAAGGGTACAGGCTGACTCTAAGTGGCATGTATCTTGATCGAGGAAATTGTCGCTTTTTCTTCTTATTTGGTTCATTTTCTTTTTTTCTTTTGGTGGGGTAGACGTTACGAGACTGCCAAGATGCTGTGAGAGCTGTTGGAGAAAGGGTTAAAGTCGTGAGTGCCAAACCTCGTTTGAGTGCTGCTGCTCAAGAGAGTATCAATAAGTTAAATGACGATTTTGAGAAAAGATTGTCTGATGATCTACATACCCCCACTATTTTAAATGCCACTCTTCAAGAAGCTCTGAGGTCCATGAACTCTTCCACCAGCCTCATCAAGGTATGGATTTCCTCCTCCGATGGTTCAGGACTATCAGCCCCGGCCTGTAAACTTTTTTTTTACTAACCAACCTCTTATCTTTTCTTTTCTTTTCTTTTTTTTCTTTTTTTGGTTTTGCATTCATCATTCCAGAAGAAGCAGCAACAGGAATCAACTCTGCATTATCTGACTGAATTAGAGAAGGGAGTTAGGAGAGTGTTGATGGTGCTAGGATTGCTGTCTGATTCGCCCTATCCCGAGGTCTTATTTGGGGGGGGGGGGTCTTCACTTTTGTTTTGATTGTACTGTTCTTGTTATGAAATTAGCCATAAGTTTGTGTTCCTGTTTGGTTGGACAGGTTTTGCAGCAACTAAAAGACAAGGCACTGAAGAGGGCAGGTTTGAGCGAGGATGATATTTTGCAAAAAATAAACGAACGAGCCGAGGCAAGGAAGGCGAAAGAATTCTCAAAAAGTGACGAGATCAGGAGCGATTTAAGTGCCAAGGGAATAGCTCTAATGGATGCTGCAAATGAAGGTACCCTTTGGAGGCCCTGTGTGCCAGTTGGTATTTCAACTTTGTAACATTTTCACCACACACACACACACACACACAATTAGATATTCTCAGGTTGTTTTGAAATATTTACACTTACTGGGGTGTTGAAATATATAAGAATGCCAAGTTAAGTGCTACATGTTTGGTTTGAATCCCACTAGATGAATATATTCATCTCGTTTTGTGCCTTCAACTTTCCTACATACTCACTATTTGTGCCTCCTGATTTCACTAACAAAGTAAAGAAATTTTTGATCATTTTACCCCAATGTTGTACCAATATAAAAATTTATTTCCCAATGAAAAATGATTTTTTGACAGAAAAAATAGTAATAACTCTTTCCACCAAATAATGGAAAATGTGGGGATAGAGAATAATTTCTATGAAAATGAAAATATTCCCTATCTTCTAGAATTATCGCCTCAATAACTCCCCTCGCCTCAAATTAATTGTCTTGCTTTTTAGTCCGTCTAAAAAAAGTCTCACATCTTTACTTTCCTAATAAAACAAAAAATATTAGAGGACAATTGGATCAACTAGATTGGTTTTTTATTTGGGTTTTTTCGATTCTAATATTTTTCAGTTGTATGTTATAATCTGTCCGGTTTAATTTCAATATATAATTCAATTCGATTCCATACGTTTCCGATTCGATTTTGGGTTTCATATTCGGTTTGGATATCAATCAATTAGATATATGTTAAGTTTGGATAATATTCTGATTTCAAAAACATTTCAGTTTGGATATATTTAGATTTTAAATATATTTTGGATATGTATTTTTTTACTCCGTATACTAATCGAAAGAGAAAATATGAAACTTTTTTTTTTTAAAGAGTAGTATATCCACCAAAATGGGTAGCTGCAGCTGCATATTAGAGGGAGGAAGAGTTATGGGGTCTAGCCAACGGGGTTGAGACGGGTTGTGTTAATTAAATAGTTATAATCGGGCTTTGTTAGCTTATTTGCGTATAATATGTGTATTATACATGCGTATGTATAATACGTGCATTATGTTCTCAAATACAAATTTTTCATATAACAAACGTATAATACACATATTTTTTTACCCCAAACGTATTTACAAATTTTATACATATTAAAGTGCAATTTTTTTTCATCGACTCCAACAATCAAAATTTAGGGCTCGTTTTGTGAGTTTTGAAAATATGATAAGATATGACTTATGAAATCTGGAAAAAATGATATGGATTTTGAAATATGAAACAAATTTATTTGGAGATATTTAAAAATATGATTTAGTTAGTAATAAGCAATGGTGACCAACAACGGGGGTGGTTGGCAGTGACAATAGTAGCCGGTGACGATAAATGATCAACGGTTGAGAGAAATATCAAATCTCCATATGGATATTGATAACTTCCAAATTCGGTAGATATCAAGACCCCCATTTGAAAGATTTATGATATCTGGAGTTATCGAATTCGATACTTTTTTTGGCTAAACCAAACACCAAAAAGAATTCTGATGTTTGGAGATATCAAAACTTATACGGAGTATCTTATTTGCTCAACAAACACACCTTTAAAATGTCAAATTTTAGATCGGATCAATTTACTTGATTGTCAATCTCCCAATAATTCGAATATCTAAATTTTGGTGACTCAGCAATTGTTAAAGTATTAGAATCCATATCGCAGTCAAGTCATCCACCTTTGCCCTTTCTTAATTAAATATCATCCACGATCTACTAGTCTCTTCATCCGATTGAGAGTCCAACACTTTAACCACTCTGGTGAACAATTAAAAACAATATGTAATCACATTTGTTTAGATTTCAAAATGTAATCATTTCTTTGCAATTAGTTTTGTGTGTGGCTAAATATCTATCTATGCTTGAAAATACAAATTTGATTTCATTTGTGTGATCTAATTTAAAAAAAACTAATTTCGTAATTGTAATTTTATTCTAAAAATGAAAAATATAAAATTGATTTCATTTCACATAGTTTTAAATTGCGTAAAAAATATTTAGTGAATTTATATTTATATTACAAAGTCACTTAAGTCTTCATTTAAAATTCATGATGAGTATTTAACAAATTTTATAAAACTTAAATTGTCTAATGATATAAGTTTTGTCATTGCTCAAATGCTCCATTCTTGTCTAAATGTTAGTTTCTTTTTTAAAAACATGTTCTTATTCTGATTACATTTTTTGGAAGTACACAATAATACTTCGTAGTTGATTCAAACATCACTTTTGGATACACTTGAAAAATGAATAAATAATAAATCATAGCGCTGATTAAATTTTTAAAATTTGTATGATGTATCTGTACTCATTTCCAAATTTAAATGATCTTTTTTATTAAAAATATCTGCACTCATTATAGGTCGTATTTTTAAAAAATCAAATGTATAAAAAGTATTTAAAAAACGTGATATGTGGTATACATGAATGTATGAATAAATATACTCCGTATTATACTCGTATATTCAAATAAATTAACTCACCTTTTAGAGGGAGAAGGTCTAGCCAGGGAAGTTAAGACGGGTCGTGCTTATATATTCATAATCGGGTCATCTGATGATGCCTGGTTCGGGGGAGTCTACCACCCCTGGTATAAAAGCGTTCGGCTTAGCCCCCTCACGGAGTCGTGCCTCTCTGCAAACACACCCCAGAATTTAAACAAACATCAACAAGCATTTGAGGAGCGAACCCAGTCTCTTCTCCATCTCTCCTTTCGATTGATAGTAATGCAGCCGTCAAGAATGGAATCCCAACCAGAATCGACGGCGGCACCAGCGGAAGCGCCACCTGCGGAGGAGACTGGAGCGGCCGCGGAGGAGGAGGACCCGCCGCAGGAGGCTGGGGGTGATGACGATGACGAAGGAGACGAGTCCAACGACGCGCTGATCTCAAAGGCTCAAGCATTAATGGACAAGATCACTGCCAACGCCGAGAACCCTAACCCCAATACACTGCACGCTCTCTCCTCCATTCTTGAATTCGAAGAGTCCAGGTATGTGGAAATTCGTTACCGTTTGCGTGCGCACGCCTACAGATGCTTTTGCTCTTGAATTTTTGGGACAAAAAGCTTTGTTGTTGTAGTAGATGTTACATTCAATTTGTTAGCAGATGCTGCTGCTGCTAAGGTTTACTATTAGCCTTTCAGTCGGGCATAACAGACACACACCTTTGCTCTTTTGCTTCATTTTAAATGAATAGTTGATGATTATTGGAAAGGCATTGCCCTTCCAGCTTCAACGCTATTAGTAGTATAACTAAGGAGAACAAAGAGTTCATTATCGATGTCTGTATTTAATCAATTTCAGAAGAAAATATGAATAGTCCTCATTGGGTCTTTTACATGCTTCTTAGGAGTTTGTTTGCTTGCTAAGTTACATAGAGATAGGGTGCGTACACTCATATGGGGATGTGGCTGGGAATGGGTAAAAACCAAATTTTACAAGGAACGTAGGTATTGGGAATTAGGACATCCTCAAGTACCAAAACAAAGACATTTTGGGGGCAGGAAGCAGCACTTGTTTCAAGAGGTGTAGCATAGTTTGCTGGACTACAAGGTTGTGTAGGCATACTATGTTTATCCTATCATCCTATTATTAGTTTCAGCTTTTCTGTCAGCAACGGAAAGAGTATGTTTTAAAGTTATGTGCATTACTGATTGATTAGGGGAGGACGATTGCATACTTTTCCTAGGATTATTACTAGGTCTACTACCTGGGTTCAAACACTGCTAGTAGTATGCATAACTCATACCCTTATCTGCATAAGAATGCTTTTTCTTTAGGAGCCTATCTCCTTGGAGCAATGGTTTAAAAGGAGAAATAAATTCTCATGGACAGCTTAGCTGCCTTTAAGGCTCTTTGTGGCTTTGATATAAAGAAACATATTGGTTGAAAACAACTGCTTTCCATGAAAGTGATGAAACACATTTTGCGTCCACTAACACCGGAACACAACACTTCTATAATAATTATTCCATCCTTCCCAAACCAAGGTTTCCATTTGAGTTTTCACGATCAACAATGTAAAACATAACACTCTAATAATGAATACTACTCCGTACTATTTTTATTTATATTATATATAAACTCTCCTGTCTCAAAAAACTAAAACTTTACCTAGTTTGACTTTCCCACAGTTTATAAAAGTGTTGAAGATTGAAAATATATTGATGATTTTGTTTGGATGAGAGAGAAATCTTGTGAGTCACAAGTCCATTACTAAAGTAAGTGGGAAGTGTTTTTTGGAACATCCAAAAAGGAAATTAGATAAAGATTTTTGGGACAGAGGGAGTACGTCCAATAAAATTATATTTCAAAGCTATACATTAAGATGCATCTAGTGATAATAAATTTACAATATAATTCAATACTGCATCCATCCCAAAATGAAGTTTATACTTTTCTTTTCATTTTTTTGGATGTCCCAAAGTGATTTCCATTCTCTTGTGGAGCCAAAGATTCACTATTTTTTGGCTTTGGGGTATGATGGAGTAAAGCAAATTGGCTCTTTAAATTGTCTGCGCTTCTTGCAATTGTCAAGTAGCAGTTAGTCAATGCAACATCCAACGCTCATCATGGGTCATCTGGAAACAGCCGCTCTATGTTTTAAACATATGGGTCGGACTGTGTACATCCATCTCCCTTACCCCGCAATGGGCAGAAGTCGTTGAGACACTAGGGTAATGTTGTTTTTTGTTGTTGGATATCCCAAAATGAAGTTTACACATTTCTTCTAGAAATGAAAGTGTGGCATTGTCATACTCCCTCTATCCATAAAGATTTAAGACTTCATAATTTGATTTGAGAGTTAATAAAAAGCATTGAAAAGTTTTTATGAGAAATGTTAAAAATTGAAAAGCATGTAGTTAAAGTTTGTTTAGAAGAGAGAAATATTGTCAAATATTCCTTTTTTTTAAAAAAAAGGGAAATGTGGAAAGCAGGTAGTTGTTTTTGGGATAGAAATTGAAAGTGTGAAGTTTTTTTGGATGGAGGGAGTATATTTTTAATTTTTTGAATATTGTATGGATTGTTCTCGCTAAATGCCTTAATAGACATGTGGCTAGAGTAAGAGATAGACCTAAGAAGTAAGAAGACTTGACATGATGTGGTCAAGGGGGACCTTTGCGTTGGTCCATGTAGTCAATCCCACATAATGGGATATAGCTTTGTTGTTGTTGTTGTTGTTGTTGTGTTTTATGGATTGATTGGGTTATGGTCTATGCCTATGCCATATGCCCCACCCCGGTGTAGAAAATGAAGGAATGAGTCTTGGGTACCATTGGGGGGGGGGAGGGGGGCTTAAAACCCTGTTATACTTAGTTGAGATTGGAGCTTTTTTGTTGGGCTTACATTATTATAATATGATGGTTTTACTTAATGTTTTGTCTTACATAACATTGGCAGTTTATATGTTTGCCTAAAATAACATAATAAGTACTTTTCATGTTGCCACTGTTAAACATTTTAAGCAATGACAACTCACAAGGGCATTTTAGTTCTTCTAATAAAGATTAATCAATGAGCCAACAACAAGGAGTTTGCTTAAGATAGTAAAGCAGCGATACAACTTAATAGCTCTACATAAATAATAATCATAAACTGCTTGATCATAAAAGCAAAAAACAATTTAGAGACACATCTTCCACTGTATAAAAAGATTTTATCGATGGATATAGTCAACAAATAGTTCTCATGTGTACAGTATTTCATAGTTATGCTATATTGTTGTAGTTTTAATTTTTCTCTCTCTGAGTGCAGTTACATGAAAGATGTAAGCTGTCCTTCCCCAAATGGCCGCTCTTCACATAACATTGGACGGCTGGGTAACCTCATTCGGGTAGTTGTCATTGTCTTCTATTCTTCTTGCACTGGTGTATTTGCCTCACTTTTTATGCCATTAACGCAATTATTTTATCTTAACTTGTATTTGTTTCCCTTCTGCAGGAGAATGATGAATTCTTTGAACTTATTTCATCAAAATTTTTATCTGAAAGAAGATACTCGATGTCTGTACAAGCTGCTGCAACTAGGCTCCTCTTTAGCTGTTCACTCACTTTTGTGGTACATACTTTATTCATTAATTTATTACGAGTTATTATCATTTTGGCTAATTTGTAATTGTATGTGGCGTTTGTGAATATTGATATGGCATCCAGTATCCTCATGTTTTTGAAGAAACTGTTTTGGATAATCTAAAAAGCTGGGCGATGGAGGAGACATGTAAATACGGGGATGATCTTTATTGGAGGAATGAGTCAGGAGAACAATCTTCAGACTCTGAAATGCTCAAAACATTCTCCACTGGGCTTATTGCTGTTTGCCTGACCAGGTATTCTTCTGAAACTTGTTGAGTCACTTGAGTGGTTTATTAAAGATGTTCCTATTAAATGACTATATCCTGCTTTTTTCAATTACTCTAATGATTGTAGTGGTAGTCAAGTAGTTGAAGATGTGCTAACCCCCGGATTGCCAGCCAAGCTTATGCGATATCTCCGCATTAGGATCTTGGGAGAGACAAACGTAGCACAACGAGATTCTACATCAATAGTTGAGAGCAAAGCTGCTACTACTAGTATTAGAACTAGAGAGGAGGGCAAGGGTCGGTTGCGTCAAGTGCCTGAAAGTTCTTATTTGGACACCCCTGTACTTTCTAAGGATGGCCTCGTTGATGAACAAATGGCGGAGAGGGATCGTGATCGTGATAGAATATTCAGCAGGCATGCAGATGGAGATGAACATTGGATTGATGAGGAACCATCTGATATGATGCCTGTAGATATCAATATCGATGTTGTTGAGACTGAGAGTGAAGATAAATCACACATAAGGGATCTACATGATGGCAAGTCAAAGCAAAGTGTTAGATCTGTAAGGGAAGAAGATGTTGATGATAGCTCTAGAGATGACTCAGCAAGGCATAAGACAAGTCGTGGTTGTGCAAGGTCTCGAGTGCGACCTAGGGCTACTGAAGCTGCCATGGAGAATGAACTAGCTTTGACTCCTGCTAGCTCTGGAAATAGAATGGGAGGTCATGCTCGTAGCAGGAATTTAGCAAGGAATTATGATGGGAGAAAAATCATGGAAAGCAAGCAGAATATTGAGAGGAATTCTGCTGATGTTCATGGAATGGAAAGGGACGATAACGATGATTGCTTTCAAGACTGTAAATTTGGTTCTAAGGACATCACTGGTCTGGTAAAGAAAGCAGTTGCCGCTGCTGAAGCTGAAGCTAAAGCTGCCAATGCTCCTATAGAAGCCATCAGAGCAGCAGGTGATGCTGCTGCAGAAGTGGTTAAAAGTGCTGCTTTGGAGGTTCCTACTTGCTTAATAATCTTTCATGCTGTTTTATGCTTCAAAAATTTGGTGTTATGGTTGGCTTCAACTAAGTTGCAACTTTTCATTGTATAGGAATTCAAAAAGGCAAATGATGAAGAGGCTGCAATTGTGGCTGCTTCTAGAGCTGCATCTACAGTAGTTGATGCTGCAATTGCAGTTAAGGCAGCAAGGTTGGTAGCTTGGGGTTTTTTTTTTGAATTTTTAGAAGCAAGAATGTGCAAGTTGCCATATTTTTTTCACTTTATGTTGTATGTCTTGTTTCTTTCTTCTCATGATGTTTTGTTACGTTTGTTTATAGAAATGTGACTAGTGCTAATGACTCACAAGAGCCTAAGCCTACAGAAAAGATCAGTGAGGAAGTTGATGATTTTTTCATTCTCGATAGCTTTTCTCTTGCAAAGCTGAGAGAGAAATTCTGCATCCAGTGTCTTGCGATTCTAGGTGAATATGTTGAAGTCCTTGGGCCAGTGTTGCATGAAAAAGGAGTAGACGTGTGTCTTGCACTATTGCAGCAAAATTTCAATGATAAAGATGAATATGAAGTTTCGCAACTTTTGCCTGATGTTCTAAAGCTGATCTGGTCTTTGGCTGCTCATCGTAAATTTGCTGCAGTGTTTGTTGATCGCGGTGGAATGCAAAAATTGCTTACAGTCCCAAGAGTTTCTCAGACATATCTTGGTCTTTCATCTTGTTTATTTACTATAGGTTCAATTCAGGTAATTTAATGTACTTTTTTTATTATAGTTATATTCCTCTGTTGTACTCTTGTCCCCCCCCCCCTCCCCGCCCCGCACCTGCACCTTGCATGTTTATCTGTTTTCATATTGTTCTTATTGTGTGTTTAAAGTTATTTCATTGGAATTTGACTTTCAAATATGATCTGTAGGGGATAATGGAACGTGTCTGTGCACTCCCTTTAAACATTGTCCTTCAACTTGTTGAGTTAGCTCTTCAGCTTCTTGAGTGCTCCAATGATCAATCAAAAAAGAATGCAGCATTGTTTTTTGCTGCTACTTTTGTCTTCAGAGCAATTCTTGATGCTTTTGATGCTCATGATGGTTTACGAAAGATGCTCAATCTTTTGCAAGATGCTGCCTCAGTAAGGTCTGGTACATCTGGGACAATCAGTGCTTCGGGATCATTACGCACTGAGCGTTCGCCTCCAGAGGTACTGACTTCNAAACATTGTCCTTCAACTTGTTGAGTTAGCTCTTCAGCTTCTTGAGTGCTCCAATGATCAATCAAAAAAGAATGCAGCATTGTTTTTTGCTGCTACTTTTGTCTTCAGAGCAATTCTTGATGCTTTTGATGCTCATGATGGTTTACGAAAGATGCTCAATCTTTTGCAAGATGCTGCCTCAGTAAGGTCTGGTACATCTGGGACAATCAGTGCTTCGGGATCATTACGCACTGAGCGTTCGCCTCCAGAGGTACTGACTTCCTCAGAAAAGCAGATAGCTTATCATACATCTGTGGCATTGCGGCAATACTTCAGAGCACATCTTCTCTTGATTGTGGATTCAATCCGCCCCAGTAAAAATGTCCGCAGTGCAGCTCGAAATATTCCAAGTGTTAGATCTGCCTATAAGCCACTTGACATAAGCAATGAGGCTATGGATGCTATATTTCGTCAAGTACAGAAAGATCGGAAACTTGGTTCTGCACTTGTGAAGGCTCGTTGGAATGTGGTGGATAAGTTTTTGAGCTCAAACGGGCATATTACTATGTTGGAATTTTGTCAGGTATTCCCTTGCACTTTGAAATGGGTTCTTTGCTTGTGTTGTGTCTAACTTTTTTCGATAATCTTGAAGGCAGCTCCACCTGTTGAGCGCTACTTGCGCGATTTGCTTCAATATGCTCTCGGTGTGCTTCACATTGTTACTCTAGTGCCGAACAGCCGTAAACTTATTGTAAGTGCTACACTAAGCAATGGCCGTCTTGGTGTGGCAGTCATTTTGGATGCTGCGAATGGTGCTGGTTATGGTGAACCAGAGGTAGGAGCTAGTAATTGATATTTTTCATTGCTAGAAATCTGTTTCTCTACTTCATATTGATTTCTTACTCGTATCTACGGACTAATTATTTAGTTTTAACGTTGGTAGATTATTGAAGCAGCACTGAATGTGTTAATCAATCTTGTGTGTCCTCCTCCCTCAATCAGCAATAAACCATCTGTTTCTTCCCAAGGCCAGCAGAATGCTCCCATCCTTCATTCGAATGGTTCTAATATGGAGAGTCGTGACAGAACTGCAGAGCAAGTTCAGTCTTCAAATACTTCAGGGTTGGTTGGGATTTCAACAGTTGGCACAACTACCAGCAGTGCAACACAAGGCCCTCATTCTGCAGTACCTTCAGGGTTAGTTGGGGACCGTAGAATTTCACTTGGTGCTGGGGCTGGTTGTGCTGGCCTTGCTGCACAACTAGAACAATGTTACTATCAAGCAAGAGAGGCTGTTCGTGCCAACAATGGCATTAAGGTTCTCCTTCAGCTCCTCCAACCACGAATGGTTACACCTCCGGCTTCCCTTGACTGTTTGCGTGCTCTCGCATGTCGAGTCCTCCTCGGATTGGCCAGAGACGACACAATTGCACACATATTAACAAAGCTGCAGGTCGGTTTTGCCTATAAATCTTGTTATATCTATGGTAGCTTGAGTGCTTTCAACAACACCACTGTTCCCATGACACAATGATTAAATTCTTTAAAGTAAAAAGTACTTATATGTTCAAAAATCTCAGCTCTGTTGTGGAACAAGTTTTGATGTTAGTTAAACTACTTCATATTTGGTGCTTGCTCATTCAAATGGTCTTTGAAGGCCTTTAGTTTCATTTATTTTGAATACCAACACCATGCTTGGTTCAAGGAATTAGGAAGAAAAAGAAATGAAAATGGGTTTCTCTCATTTTCGTTTCTTTTCCCTTTCAAATTTCTAGAACCAAACATTGCACAAAGGTTACAACCGCCATCATTTATGCATTTGGTGTGTCCACGTAATTGCTGTTTTCTCATGGTCTTTTTTTATTCATCACTTTGCAATTATTATTCAGATTAAATCTAGAACTACCAGTGTGCCATGTGCCCATTGTGTACTATTGATTGTATGCTTTTGATTTTTTGCATTTAATTGTATTAATTGAACTGAATGTTTACATGTTAAGTGCCTTTTGTACCACGGTTGCACTTAATTTGCATGGTGTGCCCTCGTTTAGATGATAGTATAAAATTCACAGGGATATCTTTTTTCATAGTGCAGTGTTCACCAATGTTGTGTAATTGCTGTTTTAGGTAGGGAAGAAACTATCAGAGCTCATACGAGACTTTGGTAATCAGAATTCTGGAACGGAGCAGAGTAAGTGGCAAGCTGAGCTTGGACAGGTGGCTATTGAGCTCATAGGGGTAAGCTTTGTTTTTTTTAAAATGTTGGGAGTAAGGAATGATCTGAGTCATCTGATTGTCAACTGACATACGATATATTATTTGCACTTTAACCCCTTTTGTTATAGCAGCTGGATGCACTTTTGTTGCATTTCTGTTTTATATTTGTAAAAGTATATCTGCAGACTACAAGTTTATCGTTCTTTTGCTTTCAATTTTGAAGAATCTTACGTTAAATAAGGGTGCAACCAAACTTGAAGAATGGCAACAACCAACTTATGTTACAACTTACAAATTCTTTTAATTGTATTTTATAGGTTGTAACTAGTTGTGGACGTGCCAGTACCCTAGCTGCTTCGGATGCTGCGACCCCAACATTGAGGCGCATAGAGAGAGCTGCCATAGCTGCTGCTACCCCAATTTCATACCACGCTAGGTGATGTATTATTTCATAGTACAACAGTTTATTCTCTTTCCCTATTACACTTGCCTGTACGTATGCTTGTATTACCAATGATGATTGTTTTCCCTCAAATAAATAAATTCAGGGAGCTTTTACTTCTTGTCCATGAACATTTGCAAGCATCTGGGTTGACAGAAACAGCATCCACTCTTCTAAAGGAGGCTCAGTTAACACCTTTGCCATCTTTATCAGCACCATCCTCTCTCACATATCAAGTCTCTGGTCAGGAAATTTCCTCTGCACAACAAACTCAATGGCCTTCTGGGCGTGCACCTGGTGGGTTCATGTTATTTGATAATAATAATAAGCCAAAAGCGGCTGCTGGTGCATTGCAGGATGAGGATGTTGGAATGAAATGTGATGCATCAGTGTCTTACAAAAAGAAACCTTTGGTGTTCTCATCTGGAGGGCGTAGTAGTCTGCATTCAAAATATAATAATCCTTCTGAGATCTCACCAGTTTTCAAAAGCAACATTGCTAGGAAACCTTATACTACACCTATTGCGTCACCCTCCTTGGAAGGTCAAATGGCATCTGTAGCTGGTGATACAGACATCCAGTCTAATAAGACACCAACAATTGTATTGCCTGTTAAACGCAGATCAACAGACATTAGGGATAGTGGGGCACCACCTGCAAAACGCCTTAACACTGGTGACACTCCATTTAAATCTCCAACAACCTTTGGAACTCCGAATTCTGCCCGTAGAAGTGGTATTCCTCCGGATGCTAATCTGTTTGTCACACCACCTCCACCACAGCCAAGTTTTTCATGTATCAAGGAGCAGCAGCATGGCCGGTCTATTGGAAGTGTGTTACCATCTGGCGAGGGGGATAATAACCTTTCAAATGACTTGCAAGCCTCATCATCAAACACAGAGCGTTTGACATTAGATTCTTTGGTGGTTCAGTATCTGAAGCACCAACATCGCCAATGCCCAGCTCCAATCACAACCCTACCTCCATTGTCCCTTTTGCAACCACATGTCTGTCCAGAACCCAGACACAGTTTTGACGCTCCAACTAATGTGACATCTAGGCTCACTTCACGGGAATTTAGGAGTGCGTGTAGTGGGATCCACGGAAGGCGCAAGGATCGTCAATTCATCTACAGCAGATTCCGACCGTGGCGAACTTGCCGGGATGATGGCGGTGTCCCTCTGACTTGCATGACTTTTCTTGGAGACTCTTCACAAATTGCTGTTGGCAGCCACTTGGGAGAGCTTAAAATTATTGACTCTAATAGCAACAGCGTCCTGGAGAGTGTTGCAAGCCATAATAATCCAGTGACCCTACTCCAGTCGTATATTTCAGGAGAGACTACTCAACTTATGCTATCTTCAAGTTGTCAAGATGTCCAGTTGTGGAACGTGTCCACTTTTTCAGCAGGACCTCAGCATTCATTTGACGGATGCAAAGCTGCGCGGTTTAGCAATAGTGGAACATCATTTGCGGCGTTGTCGGCAGATTCACATCAGCGTGAGATCCTGTTGTATGACGTGCAAACATGCCAGCTGGAATTGAAGCTCTCGGACAGTGTATCTAACGTCACCTCAGGACGGGGACACATGTATTCCCTTGTACATTTTGACCCCTCGAACGATAAACTGCTCTGGAATGGTGTTTTATGGGATCGTCGTGAGTCACGCCCCATACATCGGTTTGATGAGTTTACAGACTTTGGAGGTGGGGGGTTCCATCCTTCCAGGAATGAGGTGAGGAACGACTTGTTTGGTTTTCCTACAAGTGTTAGCTAGCATGCGTGCTTCTGGTTTTTTTCCCCTTTCTAAAACTTAAATTAGTACGTTTTTTTTTAAATAAAATATTTTACTTACAGGTGATCATAAACTCGGAGATTTGGGACCTTCGGAAGTACAGACTGTTGAAGAGTGTTCCGTCATTGGGTCAAACGGTAATAACGTTTAACGGTAGTGGTGACGTAATATATGCAATACTGAGGAGGAACCTTGAGGACGTGACATCAGCGGTCAACAGTCGGCGGGCAAAACACCCGCTCTTTTCAGCATTCCGTACAGTGGATGCTGTTAACTATGCCGACATTGCCACCGTTCCAGTGGACCGCTGTGTCCTCGACCTGGCAACGGAACGGACTGATTCTTTTCTTGGGTTGGTGACTATGGATGACCATGAAGAGATGTTTTCTTCTGCCAGGGTATATGAAGTCGGTCGTCGGAGGGTCACGGAGGATGATTCGGATCCCGATGACGCCGACAGTGAGGAGGAGGATGATGAAGATGATGACGACGACGATGATGATGAGGAAGGAATCATTGAACTTGATGTGGATGGTGAAAGTGAGGATGGTGATGATGGTAGTCTGGGTGGACTTGATGATGATGAGGAGGAGGAGGAGGACGACGACGATGACAATGATGAGGGGTTCCATAGAGGCGACGACGACGATGATGATCTGGACTTTGAGGGTGGGCAAGGAATGTTAGGAGTTGTGTCGGAAGGTTACGAAGACGAGGATGACGATAGTGAACTGGAGTTTTTTGGTAGTGAAGATGAAGGCAATGATTTGTAGTTGTAAGGAGTGAAATGATATTTGCACGCACGGCATTGGCATGGCATGCCTAAATTATGCTGCTGAGCACCAACTTGGCAGATCTTACCATTTTGTTTTGTTTTTGTTTATGGCTTCTTAGAGAGGGAGGGAGAGAGAGAGAGAACCACAAAATGGTCTTATAGATGTTTGTAATTGTCGCATCATCTTGCAATTGGACCATTGTACTATAAGTGCATACATGTGAAACATTAAAGATGAAAACATCATTGTTTTGTTATTTTATCTTCACCTTCTACATTTGAAATATTTGAGAAAATAACCCACAAAGTTTGAGAATAAAGTACCGTAGATTAAAAGTTAGGAGCACCTAAAGATTAAATATTATTCTACCTAGGCCTGTCAATGGGTTGGGTATAGACTTGAACCCATTTAATATCTGTAAATGTTTAGCGGGTTTAGGAGTATAAAAAATACTGTGTACCCGTATCCAAATTCGTACCCATTATTTTTTAAAAATAATAGGTTAGGTATAGCCGTATAGGACGAATAATCTCGACCCGTTCAATTAGAATATTTTTTATTCATAGTCTTTTTCATTGAGACGTCAATTTTTATCATGGATATACCCGACCTGATAGCGAGACTCAATGAGTCCAAATCTAGGATTAAATTTCAAGACCCATCGAGTAAACAGGTATGGGTTAGGACCAATTTTTTAAAAAAGGGTACGGTTATAGAACACTATGGACGAGCCTGAACCCGACCCATTGACATGCCTAATTCGACAGATAATATAATTTTACTTCTTTATTCTAGTGCTCTTTTTATTGTAGAGATCTCTCAATTGCAGAAGAAATTTTGGTAGTGTTACTTTTAAAGACTACACATACGAAAGATATGACTTAACGTCAAGGATTTTTTATTTTTTTGAAAAAAAAAATGCTAAATAAAGTTATATATTTTGAGATTGTAAGAAAAACTTAAAATGAGAGATTTTGATTTTTGAAGGAATGTTTGATGAATAGGGAGAATAATGTAGTGTTTGTTACTCTTTCCGTCCGTCATACATTTTCTTTGGCAGCGGCGGCGGCCAAGGGGCAACGGCGAGGAGCAGCGAGCCTCTGAAGGGTGACGGCGAGATCCAGCTAGGCAGGTTTGATTTTACATGATGAGATGAACGAGTGTTTTGTTTTACTTTGGGACAACTCACATTGTACAAGATTACCGAGAAAAATAGAAACATATAATTTTTTTACAGTATCTTTTTATTTAAAAAAGAGATGAACGGGTTCGCATTCCAATCGGGTATTCCTCGGGTGAACTATTGAGCCGTATCCAATACACGGAGTGGTAACTAACATGCCCAAACAAGAGATATCCGTGTTTCATAGACTATTTTTCTTCTGTACTTAAAATTTAGAAAGAAATATGCGCAGCTTTATTTATTGCTATGCATGAACATTGTAAACGGTGGGTTTAAACCCTCGATTAGAGTAGCCAGATGTTGAGAAAGATCTAAATACTTCTTCTATGACTATGCACTGGTAATAATAAAGTGAAATGAAGATTGCTAGAGATGCATGAATGCTAATTTTCATCACACCAAGATAGCGAAACCCAACAAATGCTCCTATCCTATCTATCGCAGATGGAATGTAATTGGGGTTGAATTACATTCAAATTTGTTTTATTTTATTTTCATATTGATCTTAAGAGTTCAGTAAAGCAAAATATATTATTTTTCTTTTTTAGTTCCTTCTTTATTTAATTTCTTCTTTATAAAATTAAATACCCATCTCATCTACATTTCAAGCTTAGTGTTGGAGAATCCCCCGTTCTTTGAATGAATAGCCTATTTATAGAGCACTGCTCAATCTTTCCAGAAATTTGTGCACCCATACATTTGGAAATGTGTTTGTCTACTTTTCGGGTCCTATGTCAAAAGTGGAAGCTTTCAAATATTCTACTACCACACACTCATAACAACATTTCATACTCTGCATTATTGTTGATTTATAACATTTCTTTAATCAAAACATTTTATGAAGTGGAATATTTAAAAGCTTCCACTTTCAACAAATACTTCCCCAAACAGATAGACCCCCCCGTGGTTCACATATTCATGAAATATCCAGTAGTGCTACGCCATGCAAAATCTCTAACAAAGGAGACTATGAGCCACACAGTGTCGGCACATTTCCAGCATCCATCTTAGAATGAATAGCCTTATAGCAATTGAGACTGCAGAGTGGGAGCTTCAACTTGGAGTCACGATATTTGTATGGGTTCAAACACGAAGGCCCCGCACATTTCTCACGAGGGGCTGGATAACTGAAATTACACAACAAATCCATAAGATGTTTTCATTGATTTTTTCCTCTTTTTAATTGTTTTGTGCTTACATTGGGCGTTTATTTAGTTTTACCTGCAGGGTTTGGATTCAAATATAGGGGGGAACCCCATCTCTATGGGAAATGTCACTACCGTCCCTGTAGGCCTCATGACAATTCTGACAGTTTCTGATGCAAGCACTTGATGTTTAGCAGCCTTCTCCTACAGAGATAGTTGATGAATGGGTCGTAAAATTCATCAAGGCGGCGATCAACGCTTCATAACAATATATAATCAATATCACCAATCAATACACATATAGTACCTGAGCCAGCTCTTCTTGGCGCTTCTTTGCTTTGTCTTCTTTCTTTTTTCGACTTGAATCTTGACCTAGTATTTTCCTAATTGCCTCAGCCTAAATTCATTATGATGACAGAAATGGCTCACTTAGTCAATATTCCGAATACATGGGAGACTAATGATTAAACAGACATTCAAAGGGGAAAACCTCAGATTCTCGAGCTGCCTTCTCATTTTGCAGTTTACGCCTGTGAGCAGCCTCGGTTTTCTTCAGTTGCTGTTCCACCTCTGTGAGTTTCTCTTTTTGTTCTTTAGCAGCCAGAGCAGCGCAGATATGGTTAAGAAAAAAAGCATTTAGACAAAAACTTTCTTTTAATAAAAAAAAACTTCTTCAAAAGTCGCCCTAGAATGGGTGTTAAAAGGAAATAGATAAAAAAACAGCATACTCACTTCGAGATGGAGGTGGGGGCAAACCATTAGGGAACTCAACCTGATTCACACCAACAGATGGATCCTTGCTTGAGAGAAGAGCTCGTTGGCGTGTTGTAAGAGCTAATTCCCTCTTGGATTCCATCACTGTGTCAGGCGGGGAGTCCCTTCTTTGTTTCTGTTTCCTTTTTCCTTCACAATCCCCATCAGACAACAAAATTTCCTCCTCTTCATAGTCAGTGTCGTCAGAACCTTTATCCAACCTCTTCTTACCATCTTTGGCCAACTTCCCAATCTCTCCTACACTTTTAGAAACAACCTGAGAAAGACTCCGATGTTTATTGGAGTTCTCCTCCTCAAAATCTTTGACGCCATAAGCTTTTGATGTTTTTAGCTTTTCCAGATACCTAATCTCATCATCATCTTCATCGTCTTCATCAAATGCCTCATCCAAAACACGCCTCTTTGGGACCCGTTTGCTCTTCCTCACAGAATCTGACTTTTCAGCTGAACTCTTGTTTGACATCTTCCTGATGCCCTCCTTGCAAGAATCAATACCCCTGGACAAAGCTTTCGTTGGATAATGGATTTTCGTATCCGAGAGGATTTGACCTTCTCCTGAATTTTCCTGAGATTGAAATCAAATATTCAAATGAATAAAATAAATCTGCAGTCCACTAAAAGGCAAAAAAATGTACTGGCATTTAGTAGTGCAAAATAAATGCAAAAGGTTTAATCAATATACGAAAATATTTCAATTATCTACCTCCTCTTTAGTAAAATGACCCCATATTGGCCTACAACTAAAAAGAGAGCAATTGCATATGTGCCTCATTCAAATCATTGAAACGTTTGAGTTTAACTGGAAATTTAATACTAAATTGTATATTCCCTTCGCCACTAGAACTGAAGGAAACAAAATATAACTTTATGTGACACAGAATCTAAATTCCTTCACCTCCTTACAACCTCAAAGCATGCGTTAAAAAATGGCATAGCCTGGTTTTATAATAAAAATTTACTATTCCATATGAATCACTGCACTTGATAAGGACATCTAAACCTGAAGGGTAAATTTCTTCCGTGGCCGAGGGGTGTCATGAGGTCGAGAACTCTTTGTAGAAGATCCAATGCCATATGTATCATGAGGATTGCTTTTAGCTTGAATAGTACGTGTTACCCCACCAAGCTTCAGCTTAACTTTCTTGAGCTTGTTGTCATTTCCTACACCATTGTGAATCGCTCCCAAATGTCTAGATTCCATATCTTCCTTAACCCTCTTGTTTGGATAGTCAGTTTCAGCTATAGTAGCAGGAGAGCCCCTTGATATACACTGGTTAAGGCTGAACATCTTCCCTCCAGAACTAACATCAGTTTCCTCACTGGAGACCCTTCCGGGCTCATAAGAGACTGGTGTTGATGGATCATAACTTTGAGGAAACAGCTGAATCTCAGGCCTGGGCCGCCGAGGAATGCTGCTCCTCCTCTTCCTTATTGTAACACTAGGAACAGGAGCTTCAATAAGAGTGCCACCAGATTCATCCATGAAGTCTTCTTAAGTGAGAAGGTTACAGTTATGCGATGTATTAACTTCCCCCCCTATTGCATTGACTTAGACACTCCAAGATGCAACCACCTACAAAACCCTATATAAATCATTATGTAATGGATTCACACCGGAAAGATGAGAAGTGAGGCGGCAAGACTTGAGAGCAATCCTCGCATTGGCCTTCTAAAAGCGTAATTCGGATAATTCCCCATATTGTAAAACAAGTTTTAAGAAGAATCACAAGTTTAAGCACACCAATTCAGCAAGGTAAGCCAGACCAAAAGCAATAATGGAATCAATCAAAAAAAAGTTTGGGGCCATAAAAATGAATTCAATCACCACAGCTCACACAATAAAGCAAGGCATGAAGTCTACTAATTAGCTCCAGACCTTGGCCTAAACCAGAAAAGGAGAGAAATTCCTCAACATACCCCAGCACATCATTCGATTAGAACGAGCACACAGAACATAAAAAGCTCAAATCATCAACAAAAACGCAAAAAAAAAAAAAACAATTGGCAGAATACAGTGATAAAAAGCAGCGCCACATGTGAAAAACAAAGCACACACCTTTACAAGATTAAGCGAATTGTCAATCAGCACGGAAGAAACAGAGAACGCGACTGCGAATTAGGAAGGACCCAGAAGAAGAAGAATGTTGAGCTGAATTGGCGGAGAGAGAGAGAGAGAGAGAGGTTGGACGCGATAAAAAAAGATGGCGGAGGCGATGATGATGAAGACGAATGAAAAGGTTTAGGTTGGGGAAAAAAATGTCTAGGGTTAGAGCTTGTGTGATGGGTGTGGGGGTCTATGGAAGAAGATGTGGTGGTGGTGGTGGTGGTGGTAAAGGGAAAGAAGACTTTGGAGAATATCTTCACCATTTCTTCTTTTCTTTCTCTCTTCTTTAATTCACCCTCCCCTGCTCTGCCCTGGAGCTTGTTTGGATGACCCGACTCTCTGAATTCGACCCGCCCTCTTTTTTTCTATCCCCTCCCCCTCGCTTCTTCTCTCCGTCCTGTTTTCCCTCCACCGCGGCCTGCAACTCTTTGCTTGCTGGCCCCCTCTGAGACTACTAGGTACTCCCTCCACCGCGGCCTGCAACTCTTTGTGCTGTGATCTTACATGAGACTACTAGGTACTGCCTCTGTCCCAATATTTGTCTACTTTCATTTTTACACATCATCCAATTCATTTCTTTAATCCATTTTATCTTATAATTTGTATATTAAAAAATTGTAGAAATTATATATCAATAATCTACAAATCAAACAAGATCACACATGACTAGATTTAGGCTTACACATTGAGAGATTTTGATGAGTCAAAATGCTTAGATTAAGAGTTTCAAAAGTCAAAATAGGCTAAATATTGGGGGATGGAGGGAGTATTATTTTATGTAAAAATTACTAAAGTATAACACTATTTAAAATGATATCTCTAGTAAAAAAATAATAATTTGGAAGAAAGTAAATTTCTTGTATTTATGATGATTATAAGTAAATAAGGATCATATAAGATCTCATAAGCTTGGAATTCTATATGAAAATAATTACGGAGTATAAAAGAACAAGATTCATCTTGAAGACTTAAAAAATAATAATTTTATAAACACTACGATGAGTTTTGTAGCTAATAGTTTTCTATATTTAATCTTCTATCACTAAATTTTATGTAACTTTTTCACATTTAGTCTTCATGTCACCATTTATTTTTGAATTTTTTTCATGTAGATATATAAATATGTGTGTGTGTGAATTTTTTATCTACAATTAAATAAATTAAATTGAAAATTAAATGGATCAAACGAAATAAACAATACAAATATGGACGAAAAGAGTAGATAGCCAAGACTTATTCTCTTTGGCTCATATGATTATACTAGCATGGTACACACTACACTACGTGTGTGGATGCCCAAACATAAGCATGTGCTACCTTGGTCTTGTGTTTTCAATTTTTGATCTATAATTAAAAAAAATATATACGGAGTATTATATACTCCCTCCGTATCAGTGTATTTGTCTAGTTTGACTTTTTCGAATCAAACTAGACAAACTTTAAGCTTCAATCAAATAAAAACCGTAATATATTTTAACATAAACATGACTACTTTCAAATTTTTATTTCATTATGCTAATATGAAATATAAATTGAGAGTAATGGAGTTCAAAGTCTGTCCAGTTTGACTCAAAAAGTTAAATAGGACAAATACACTGAGACGGATGTAGTATTAATTAGATAAAATATTATTTTGAAAATATTTTATATAATAGATCTAATAAAACTGTGATTGTATCAAAATCTAATAATATTTTTATTTAATTTGGAGTCAAAGTTTAACAATTTGATCAAAAATAGTCAAAGGTAGACAAATTTTTGAGAACGGAAGGAGTAGTTAATTTCATAAAAAGGGACGTTTGCTTAATCCCTTGTGTGAAATAATGGAATAAGAAAATGGAATAAAATTGTGTGAAATAATGGAATTAGAAAATGAAGAAAAAGGGGTGGGGAACTACAGTGAATAGACGGAATGAACGGAGAAAAGGCTACAAAATGGTGAGAAAACGTAATAGCCCCTTATAGAGCAACTCCAACCCACCTTTTATATTTTCGTCATCTAAATCTTATTTTAGCTCTTGAACAGTGTTTTAATAACTCATTTTTTTAACAACTCATTTTTTGATATTTACTCCAACCATATCATGTATTTTTAACATCCAACTCCATTCCTTCGTATACCCTGCAAAATAAAAAAAAATCATACCTTCTGCAAATTCAACTATGCCGCCCTAAACCACCGCCGCCACTCACATAGATTGGTAGTTACAAAAATCGATGTACTAATGAATGAGAAGATCCATAGTTGAATCGCAAAACTCAAGATGTAGTGAAGGTGAAGATCTGTAGATCTATACCTTGAAATTGCATATCAGTAATTGTCAAAAAGAATTTCCATAGATTTCATGGAGAGGAACAACAAAGGAGAATATGCAGATTGAAATTGGCGATTGGCGATTGGTGAAGCGGAGAAGATAGTCCCGATCGAGAGGAAGCAATTTACACTATCTACAGGAGCATTTATATTTGGAAGACGAGAGATGGAAAATACATTTCCTTCTATTTTATGCTCCACCCGTTGGAGGTCAAAATTATGTATAGTAAATGCTAAACCCTTTATTTTATAAACTTTACTCAGTTTTACACTGCGCGTTGGAATTGCTCTAAGGGGAGATAATAATTTATAGTTACTGATGATCGCGTGTAATCTAGATTAATTTGAATTTAATAAAAATAAGTAATCCATATTAATCTGTGTCTGAATCTCATCTTACCATTCAACTTATTTTGATCAAAATCTATTAACTTTGATCTCAATATGTGAAAAAAATATATTGTGTTTCGATATAAATGTAATGTTAATAATTTTTTTGAAATATAATTTCATATTATTGACTTTTTATAAAATTTATCTCTGTATGAACATCAATAATTATAGTTAAAATGTTACATTGAAAATCACAAATAGTTATTACTATTATTATTATTAATATTATTATTACTCACTTCATCATTGTCTTCCACAATTGTCACTCGCTGCCGCTTTAGGATTGTCTTTAAAGTACTCAAGTTACTCCTGAATTTATTTTTTGAATCCTTTACTTTTTAATATTTTTGTCAAATTCTTTACTTCCTCGTCACCTTTCACATCTTATTGGTATCATAAAACATCTAAATTTGTTTTAAATAGACACAATTATCTTATTTTTTCTTAAGTCTAATCGAACTTACCGTAATTACATTCGACGTCTTACCCATTTTGATATTTCTCGAACTCTACTCGTTTCCATTGTCGTTGTTTTACATTGGTCAAAAGTCAAAATAGAAAATATTTTGCGAGACAGAAGAAGTAAGTTATTATCGGTATTGGAAGAATTTATAATTTCTAAAAAAGTTTATATAAAATTAAAACAATTAACAAATTTTATGTAATTTATGGATTATAAACAATTTAACAAAATCTTTTAAAACCTTGATAGTAAAATATACGAGTATTAAAATCTATCCAAACAAGTGTAGAATTGAACAAATCCATGGACAACATATTCCTTGATTTTAGACATCTCTCGCAATATTTTGAATACATCTCTTTAATGTTTGCAAATATTTTTATTACTCATTTGAGAATTAATCAAAGATACTCGTATATGCTTTGTTTTTCATTTTTCAAATAAACATATAGCTATAATACTCTCTCCCACATTTTTATATATACATCATAGTTTTGAGAACCGGATCGGAGGCCGAACCGGTCAAAGTACTGATTCACTGGTCGTGGTTCAACTGGTCGAACCGGTGGTTTAAACATATTTAAAAATTACATAAATATAAATATAAATATAAATATTTATAAATAAATAAATAAATAAATAAATAAATATATATATATATATATATATATATATATATATATATATATATAGACACATTCTCATTTATAAATACATAAAGAAAGTAATTTATAATATTTAACCAAAATTATATTAACATACTTGAGTTATTTTACTAAATTAAAATATAAAATTTACATGTTAAAAATAATATTAAAATTTTATTAAAAACATATCAATGAATTTGTGTTTGACTCATAGCATATAATACTACGCATTATATTTTTAAAATTGAAAAGTAAATTTTATACAATTTTTTTATTAATTATGAAATATTATAAAAAATTATACGAATTTGAAACAACAAACACCGTTAGTTGGATGATTAGGAACTCAACCAAATAGCTAAGAGGTCTTGGGTTCAAACTTTCATGGAGTAAAGTTTAAAAAAAAATTGCAAAAAAAATAAAAATAAAAATAAAAATTGGTTAGACCGGTCCGACCGGCCGGTTCTTAACGGTTTGGACTGGTTCGAAGCGCAATGTATTACTCTTTTTTAACCATTAGCCATAGCCTCCTACCCACAGCCCGAACAGACCAGGCGTTTCCTTCGGTGCCATTTTAAAAGTGATGGTTTTGGTGCCCTCCACAAGTGGACCAATGAGAATTAAGCATCTTTCACGTCATTTATTTTTTTAATTACAATCCAGCCCCAAATCTATAATTGAATTTTTATTTGTTTGGATCCACCCTTTCTCACATCCGTTAACTGCATCCCTAGCTCCGTCTACAACATCTCCTCGTTTCTGTATCGCCGTCTCCCTCCATCCTCTCCATCGCCAGCGGTCTCTTTGCCGGAATCAGAAGCCGCCCGCTGCCGACGATTTCCGGCGTTGTCTTTCTCGGAACCAGAGTTAGAAGCGTCCCTCTGCCGACGACCTATCTTTCCCGTCCCTAGGTCAGATCTCATTCCAGGTTTTTTTCTTCTATTTTTTCCATTACAAGAGAGATTCACATCATCTCAATTAAAAGGAATTATTAGGAGAGTAGTTAGTATTTGTGATCTAAAGTATTTTTTCATGTTCCAATCCTTGATTGTTCTTATTGTTTGCTTGATTTGCTCTATGACTTATCATTAGAAATTGTGAAAGATTTGAATCTGAATTATGTAGAGACTGAGCCACTCAATGTGTGGCGAATGAATCTTAGTCTAGAGTTCGCTGCCTGTGTTCTTCGTAGCACTATTCACACCGAATTCCATAGGGTGCTATTCCTATTGATTTTGTGGGCCATTCTTGCCCATTCACAAGAATGGGAAAGAATGTGTTATGTCCATGGGTTTGTTTTAAAATCGATGTGCTGCAAAGTTTGATTTTTGGTGATCTTGCTCAATTGAAGCTCAATTCTGTGAGGTTCTTGGTCGATTGCGAGTGGCTTATCAGATTCCTAGGTTGGTTTCTAAATTAATCAATGGATTAGTGTGCTTTTCAGTTTTTTGTCTTGTGGTCATTATTCATCGTCTTCCCTGCAAAGACGGCTTCAGGTTTAGTGTGGCGGTGATGGTGACAGTGGGGGTTGGGGGAGCGTGGGGGTTAGTGGTGGCAGTGTGGGAGTGGCAATAGTAGTGTGGCAGGGAGGTTCGCAGTGTGGTGGTGGCAGTGACATTGTGTAGCGGAGTTGGCAGTGTGGCGGAGTTGGCAGTGTGGTAGTGTGGCAGTTTGAATAAGGGCAAAATTGTCACTTCATTTAAATATAACACTCATTTATTTTCAAAAAATTGAATGCTCCTATTTTGGGCATTTAGGATCCATTTTACTCCTATTCTTATCTTTCTCCCTTGTATGATATTAAAATTTGTTTTCTATAACATGTATCGATTCAACTTCCGAATCTGGTTAATTTTATCAATGAAACATTTGTGAATCTTCACATATACATATTGAGCAGATTCTATCTTCAGTGCATTGCAAAATTTCAAAAGAAAACACTGGAAGCAGTTGTAACCTTTAGATGGACGCAAAGGACATTTTAGGATTGCCGAAGACTACTCTACTCACTCCCACAGAAAAAAAGTCCCGACCTCCGAAAGAGTCTCAACGCAAACCTGATGGAATTTCACGAGAAGTAATTAGTTTCCTTTTCCTTTTTCTCTATATAAATTCTATGTATAAAATCTCTTCTTTTTTGTGTGTTTTTTTTTTTAAATTTCACAGAATATTTGGTTTCGCCTTTGCAATGTTTTAGGTTTATGCCCTTACAGGAGGTCTTGCACCTCTTATGCCTGCTATTGACATAAATCTTTTGAAGCGACGAACACAGCCTGAAAATGAAAAGGTTATTTTCATCTAAAACACACTTGTCATATTGGTTTTAAAAATCTTAAATGTTGACTCAAGTCACTGAGCTGCTTCTGTTCTTTATTCAGATTACATGGCAGTGGCTACCTTTTACTAGTTCTGCCCGAAATGACTGCTTGCAACTGTACCACTGGGTATATCTAGTTCATCTTGCTAAAAATATAGATTCAGAGCTGTAAATTTCGTGTACCTAAAATTGCTATTCTACCTCTTTTCAGGTGAGGGTGGTAAATGGTGTTTTGCCTAAAGGTGATTATTCATTTGCCAAGTATAACAAGGTATGCTGAAGAGTCTTTATATCATTTGTGGACCTTTATTGATGTGCTTATTCACAAGAATTTTATTTTTGCAAAACTTTCATTGACCTTTTTTTGTCTCTGATTCAATGCAGTCTGTGGATGTGATTGAGTACACAGACGAGGAGTATGAGAAGTATCTGACAGACCCTGTATGTCTCTGATCTCTCAAATATTTAATATAAATAACATTATCGCTCTCCCTAAAATGATTGCTATCCACATAAGAAGCACAAATTCATGAAGCTCTATGAAGTACCAATGTAGCATTATAAGATAGATTCTTTCTTCGATGCATCCATTGTATTATATGTATGTAACCTAACATCCCAAACTCATATAGTTATATTTTATTCTGATTTAAAGTGGTATTTCTAATTTAAGACGTGGACAAAGGAAGAGACAGACCAATTATTTGAGCTGTGTAAAAGGTTTGATCTAAGGTTCATCGTTATAGCCGATAGATTTCCATCATCACGCACCATTGAGGAGCTTAAGGATCGTTATTATACTGGTAAATAAAAATAGCTCTTTTTCCTATACTTCCAATTATTTCTTCTTAGTGGTGTTTACAGCCTATTTTTGTAGGCTTATAATGTGCTACGGTGTCTAGTTGTTTATTAGCGTGTTCTAAAGATGTGCAAATTTCTATGTCTGGCCTCATTGTGCACAGTATCCCGAGTTGTCTTGAATTCAAGGTCTGCATCTTCTATTGATGTAGCCGGGCATCACATCCTTAAGGTTTGGTGACAGTATTCCATCTTCATCCCTACATTAAAAATATACGTAGTATATGGAGTACTATGCCTCATTCTGTTATCTAGCTTACAGTGTGTGCGCGTGTGTTTATTGTATTATTCAAGTTGTCACATTGCTGTAGGAACCTGAACCTTACAATATGCCTCAAGAGATTGAAAGGAAACGGGCATTGTCCATGGTGCTTTCGCAGACAAGGCATCAAGAACGCAGGGACGCAGAAGTTCGTTTTCTCTCTAATATCTCATTTGTGCTTCATCTTTGAGCCAAAATCCGCAAACCCGGTCAATCGGGATTAGTCGGATTTCGCCAGTGGCGGGTCCGGAACCCCTGTAGTCTAACAAAAAAACATGAAATTCGATTGCGGTAGCTCTCAACAAACTTGTTTGACGGGCACATTGAGTATATATATTCTTTATTGCATCCATTGCTCTATCTTATCAGTTTACTTGATTTAAAATCCTTCAAGGTCCTTGCTGAAGCAAAGAAAATAATGGAATCTCGTAAGGCTTCCAAGGTAATTTCTACTACTTTGCCGCTCCCCCTCTCCCAAAAAAGAGAAATGCTTGGTTCACAACCACAATTTTCACAAACTTCACAAACTTACTATTTGTGAACTTTAATAAAGAAATTAAATAGTCTAAAATAATTCTAAAAAAAAAAATTAAACTATAAATAGTAAGTTTGTGAAGTTTGTGACCATTCTGTTTGTGAACCTAGCATTGCTCCCCAAAAAAAGATAAATAAATAAAGTGACTTATATCCTCTGATCTTCAGGTTGCTGAAGAGTCAGAGCTACCTCTTATGTCAGATTCAGGACCAGAAGGTCAAGAGATGGCTGCTACCATTAATCCTGCCTCAACTTCCCCAAATACTCAGTTTCCTCTGGGCATAAGTGCTTCTCCAATATCAGAAACTGCCTCTACTTTAGCTTCTCTTCGCATGGTGTGCTTAAATTGAAAGGAAAAAAACCACACAATACTATTATATTGCTTAGCTGCTATAGTTGCCTATCTTATTGTATTGGGTGTGATTGCTATATTTTCAGTTGGGGGTGTACTTGCGTACATATGCACTAGAGCAAATGGTGCAAGCAGCAAGCTCATCAGCTGGACTCCGGACTATTAAGCGTGTTGAGCAAACTTTACAAGACCTAGGGGTTTGTTTGTCCATATATTTGTTGAACTTATTCCATACCCTCTTCTTCTACTGTGCTTATTCAATTCATCTAGCAATTAGTTAGTGCAATTCTGATGGCATAATATGTGTGCTTTTATTGGATTTGTAAGAGTTTGGAGGTTGGATTCATTTCCTTCATGGGGTTAACTTTGCATAACTTTTAAAAACAAAACTTAATTTGAGGTTTAGCTAGTGCGCACTGGGTTTACAGGTCAATTTGAAGCCTAAAGTTCCAACTAAACTAGTATGCGCAGAGCATCTTGAACTTAGGAAAGAAATTTTGACCCTATTGAATCTTCAAAAACAGGTATGTGGAGTGTCTAATCTTTATCTCCAATGTATTTTATACTAAAAACTCAAAATCCAACTCAATACATTTTCAACTGATATTTGTGGATCAGTTGCAATACAAGGAGTCTGAAGGTTCTTCCTATCGTGAAGGTTCATATTCTGAAACACCTGGGACACCACCTAAGGTTAGCAAGTTGTTTCCCATTTCATCTTTCCCATTAGTCATGCTTGAATAGTTATTAAGCAGAAGCATGTGACATCTCTTATTGGATCATCTGTTGACAGCGAGCACAGGCTGCACAGCGTAGTGTTGAACATGACAAGACATTCGGTCCTGACTTAAGTTTTGGAGGTAATTTAGCATTTTGCTTTTTCTCCGTATGAAGTCAACCCTACTCTATTTATTTTAGTTAAATTCAAAGTTGTTGAGTCGTTTAAGTACTTGGTTGGATGCTAGGTGAGAGAGCTAGTAAAAAGGATCAAAAACGCAAGGTACACGCTGTATTTTTATTATACATTCTTGAAACTACTAGTAGTATTTTGCCAGCTTTTCGTGTATAGAAAAGTCGAACTTGGGAAAAAACACAATTTGATTGTTGGGTGAGACAAGCGGGACGGAGTAATTTTTTATGTGCATATGTTATATTCTTTGTTTTTGTTTTTGTTCTTTGTATAATTGTATCTATATTTTCCTTTGTTTTCTTCTACTGATTTATCTATTAATCTGTCAAATGGGTGGGGTTTAAGACACCCGGAACACCCAAATTTGAAGGCTCTCCTGCATCTTCCAAACGGCCACGGAAGTTGAAAACCTCGGATGGATAAAGCACACGCTCCCAAGATCCATGGCTAAATGTGGTAATAACTCGGATGAATTCTTCGTGAATTGGCGAAATTTTAAATTCATAAAAAAATGCCAAATTTAAGGTAGATATTTCTATTTGCATGTAAAATCTTTGGTAAAAGTTCAATGTCAAATAGCCTAGTCAATAATGTCTTAAATATTATTTTTTAGTTTTGGCCTCGAGTTCCTAGGGGTACTATCACATTTTTGGCTAAATTTTAAGTTTATCAAAAAATTGCCAAATTTGACATGAATGCTTCTATTTAAATTTAAAATCCTTTGTAAAAGTTTATTGTCAAATAAACTTTTCAATAACGTCTTAAATATTATTTTTTAGTTTTGGGCTCGAGCTACTAGGGGTACCATCATATTTGTTGGCTAAATTTTAAACCCATCAAAAAAAGTTGCAAAATTTGACATAGATGTTTCTATTTGCATGTAAATTCCTTTGTAAAAGTTAAATGTCAAAAAGACTTGTCAATAATGTTTAAATTATTATTTTTTGAGTTTTGCCCTCTAGCTCCAGGGGTACCATCACATTTTTGGCCAAATTTTAAATTCATAAAAAAGTTTTGAAATTTGAGATGGATATTTCTATTTGCATGTAAGATTTTTTGTAAAAGTTTAATGTCAAATAGGCTGGTCAATAATGTCTTAGATATTATTTATTTAGTTTTCGCCCTGAGCTCCTAGGGGTACTATCATATATTTTGGTCAAATTTTAAATTCATCAAAAAAGTTGCCAAATTTGAGATGGATATTTTTATTTGCATTTAAAATTCTTTGTAAAAAGTTAATGTCAACTAGGCTAGTCAATAACGTTTTAATTATTAATTTTTATTTTGGTCTCAAGCTTCTAATAGTATCATCACATTTTCTGGCCAAATTTTAAATCCATAAAAAAAATTGCAAAATTTGAAATGGATGTTTCTATTTGCATAAAAAATCCTCTTTAAAAGTTTCATGTCAAAACAACTTGTTAATAATGTTTAAACTATTATTTTTTTAGTTTTGGCAAATTTTAAAATCAACAAAAAAGTTGTAAAATTTGATATGAATATTTCTATTTGCATGTAAAGTCCATTTTAAAATTTTCATGTGAAAAAGACTTGTCAAGAATGTCTAAATTATTATTTTTTTAGTTTTGGTCTTGAGCTTTAGGGGTACCATCACATTTTTTGCCAAATTTTAAATTCATAAAAAAGTTTTCAAATTTGACATGAATGTTTCTATTTGCATGTAAAATCCTTTGTAAAATTTTAATTTCAAAAAGTTTTTTCTATAACGGTTTAATTATTATTTTTTAAGTTTTGCACTCAAGATCTTAGGGATACAATTACATTTTTTGGCCAAATCTTAAATCCTTAAAAAAAGTTGCAAAATTCGACGTGGATGTTTTTATTTGCATGTAAAATCTTTTGTAAAAGTTTCATGTCAAAAAGATTTGTGAATAATGTCTAAATTATTATTTTTTTAGTTTTGGTCTCGAACTCGAGGGATACTATTACATCTTTTGACTACATTTTTTGACATGGATATTCCTATTTGCATGTAAAATCCTATGTAAAATTTTAATGTAAAATCCTATGTAAAATTTTAATATAAGAAAAATTAAAGGATATCATAAGAAAAATTGTTGGAGAAAGTTTAAATTCATCAAAAAAGTTTTCAAATTTGACATGGATGTTTTTGTTTGCATGTAAAATCATTTCTAAAAGTTTAATATAAAAAACTTTTGTCAATAACATTTTAATTATTATTTTTTTAGTTTTGCCCTCGAGCTCTAAGGGGTACGATCACAATATTTGGCTAAATTTTAAATCTATTAAAAAAGTTGCAAAATTTGACATGAATGTTTCTATTTAGATGTGAAACCCTTTTTTAAAAGTTTCATGTCAAATAGACTTGTCAATAATGTCTTAATTTCTACTCCATATTTTTTTAGTTTTGGCCTCGAGATCTAGGGGAACCATCACGTTTTTGGCCAAATTTTAAATTCATCAAAAAAGTTGCTAAATTTGACATCGATGTTTCTATTTGCTTGTAAAATTCTTTGTTAACATTTCATGCCAAATAGACATGTCAATAATATCTTAGTTATTACGGAGTATTTTTTTAGTTTTGGTCTCGAGATCTAGAATTACCAAAATGTTTTTTGGCCGAATTTTAAATTCATCAAAAAGATTACCGAATTTGACATCGATGTATCTATTTGCATGTAAAATCCTTTTTAAAAGTTTCATGTCTAAAAATCTTGCCAATAATGTCTAAATTATTATTTTGTTGGTTCTGGCCTCGAGCTCTAAGGATACCATCACGTTTTTTGGCCAAATTATAAATTCGTCATAAAAGTTTTCGAATTTGACATGAATGTTTCTATTTGCATGTAAAATATTTTGTAAAAGTTTCATGTCAAAAACACTTGTTAATAATGTCTAAATTATTAATTTTTTAGTTTAGCCCCCGAGCACTAAGGGGTTCCAATGTTCCATCACGTATTTTGCCTAAATTTTATATCGACAAAAAAGTTGCAAAATTTGACATGGATGTTATTATTTACATGTAAAATCGTTTGTAAAAGTTTCAAGCCAAATAGACTTGTCAATTATGTCTTAATTATTGTTTTTTTATTTTGGACTCGAGCTCTAAAGGTATCATCATGTTTTTTGGATGTTTCTATTTGCATGTAAAATTCTTTGTAAAAGTTTTATGTCAAAAACACTTGTCAATAATGTCTAAATTATTATTTTTTTTAAATTTGCACTCGTGCTCTAAAGGGTACCATCACAATATTTGACTAAATTTTAAATCCATCAAAAAAGTTCCAAAATTTTATATGGATGTATCTATTTACATAAAAAAATCCTTTGAAAAAGTTTCATGTCAAATAAACTTATCAATAATTTCTTAATTATTATTATTTTAGTTTTGGCCTCGAGCTCTATTGGTACGATTATGTTTTTGGCCAAATTTTAAATTCATCAAAACTTTGTCGAATTTGATATCGATGTTTCTATTTGCATGTAAAAATTCTTTGTTAACATTTCATGCCAAATTGTTATGTCAATAATGTCTTAATTATTACTTTTTTAGTTTTGACCTCGAGATCTAAGGGTACCAAAACGTTTTTTTGGCCAAATTTTAAATTCATCAAAAAAGTTACCGAATTTGATATTGATGTATTTATTTGCATGTAAAATCCTTTTTATAAGTTTCATGTCTAAAAATCTTGTCAATACTGTCTAAATTATTATTTTTTAGTTTTAGCCTCGAGCTCTAGGGGTACCATCACGTTTTTTGGCCAAATTTTAAATTCATCAAAAAAGTTGCCAAATTTGACATGGTTGTTTCTATTTGCATGTAAAAGCCTTGGTAAAAGTTTCATGTAAAAAATACTTGTCAATAATGTCTAAATTATTATTTTTTAGTTTTACCCTCGAGCTCTAATGGGTTAACATCACAATATTTGGAAAAATTTTAAATCCATCAAAAAAGTTCCAAAATTTTCATGGATGTATCTATTTACATGTAAAATCCTTTGAAAAAGTTTCATGCCAAATACACTTGGTAATAATGTCTTAATTATTATTTTTTTAGTTTTTGGCCTCGAGCTCTAGAGGTACCATCACATTTTTTTGGCCAGATTTTAAATTCATCAAAAGAATTACCGAATTGGACATCGATGTTTCTATTTCATGTAAAATCCTTTGTAAAAGTTTCATGTCAAATAGATTTGTCAATAACGTCTAAATTATTATTTTTTAGTTTTGGCCTCGAGCTCAATGGGTACCATCACGTTTTTGGCCAAATTTTAAATTCTAAAATCTTTTGTAAAAGTTTCATGTAAAATAGACTTGTCGATAACGTCTTAATTATTATTTTTTAGTTTTGGCCTCAAGGTCTAGAAGTACCATCACATTTTTTGGCCAAAGACATGAATGTTTCTGTTTGCATGTAAAATCCTTTGTAAAAGTTTCATATAAAAAAGACTTGTCAATAATGTCTAAGTTATTATTTTTTTTTAGTTTTGTCCTTGAGTTCTAAGAGGTACATCTCAATGTTTGGCTAAATTTTAAATCCATCAAAAAAGTTGCAAAATTTGATATGGATGTTTCTATTTACATGTACAATCCTTTGTAAAAGTTTTAATGCCAAATAAACATGTCAATAATGTCTTAATTTTTATTTTTTTAGTTTTGGCTTTAAGCTCTAGGGGTACCATCACGTTTCATGTTAAAATGTTTTGTCAATAATGTCTAAATTATTATTTTTTAGTTTTGGCCTCAAAGTCTAGGGGTACCATCACGTTTTTGGCCAAATTTTAAGTTCATCAAAAAAGTTGCCAAATAAGACATGGATGTTTCTATTTGCATGTAAAATCCTTTGTAAAAGTTTCATGTCAAATTTACTTGTCAATAATCTCTAAATTAATATTTTTTTAGTTTTGCCCTCGAGGTGTAAGGGGGTAACATCACATTTTTTGGCTAAATATAAAATCATCTAAAAAGTTGAAAAATTTAACATGGATGTTTCTATTTACATGTAAAGTCCTTTGTAAAAGTTTCAATGCAAATAGACTTGTAATTAATGTCTAAATTATAAATTTTTTGTTTTGGCCTCGAGCTATGGGGGTATCATTACATTTTTGGCCAAATTTTAAATTCATCAAAAAACTGGCCAAATTTGATATTGATATTTCTATTTGCTTTTAAATTTCTTTGTAAAAGTTTCATGTCAAAAAGACTTGTCAGTAATGTTTAAATTATAATTTTTTTAGTTTTGGCCTCGAGCTCTAGGGGTACCATCACATTTTTTGGCGAATTTTATAATTCATCAAAAAATTTCCAAAATTGACATGGATATTTATGTTTATATGTAAAATCCTTTTTAAAAGTTTCATGTAAAAAAGATTTATCTGTAATGTCTAAATTATAATTTTTTTAATTTTGGCCTCGAGCTCTAGGGGTACCATCACATTTTTTGGCGAATTTTAAAATCCATCAAAAAATTCCCAAATTTGACATGGATATTTATGTTTATATGTAAAATCCTTTGTAAAAGTTTCATGTCAAAAAGATTTATCTGTAATGTCTAAATTATAATTTTTTTAGTTTTGGCCTCGAGCTCTAGGGGTACCATCACATTTTTTGGCTAAATTCTAAATTCATCAAAAAAATCTGCCAAATTTGACATGGATATTTATATTTGCATGTAAAATCCTTTCTAAAAGTTTCGTATCAAAAAGACTTGTAAGTAATGTCTAAATTATAATTTTTTAGTTTTGGCCTCGAGCTCTAGAGGTATAGCATCATATTTTT